TTCTGTGCTGCTGTGGAGTTCTAGTAAAGAGAGACTTTATACTCGCCTCCTGTCATTAATAAAATTAAGATTATAGGTACACTAAAGCTACCATAATCTACAATTTACAGTTCCCAATATAATGCATAGTAATGTGCAGTGTTTTATGATAGGGAACTAAGTGCAGAAATAAGTGAACCTCTGTTTTTAATCTTTCAAGATTCTTTTCTTTCAGGAAGTGTTCCGGAGGATTGGAGGAAGGCAGATGTGGTTCCTATATTCAAAAAGGGTTCAAAATCCTTGCCTGGAAATTATAGACCTGTGAGCTTAACTTCTGTGGCTGGGAAAATATTTGAAAGGTTATTAAGGGATAATATTCAAGAATTCCTTGAGAAGAACATGGTTATCAGCAAAAATCAGCATGGTTTTATGAAGCACAGGTCATGTCAAACTAACTTGATTGCGTTCTACGAAGAAGTAAGTAGAAGTATAGATCAGGGTGTTGCCGTGGATGTGATCTATTTGGATTTTGCCAAGGCATTTGATACAGTTCCACACAATAGATTAGTGTTCAAACTCAAGGAAATCGGTCTAGATGAAAATGCTTGTTCTTGGGTAGAACATTGGCTTAAAAACAGAGTACAAAGAGTTGTCATTAATGGTAAATTTTCAAGCTGGACAGAGGTGGCAAGTGGTGTCCCTCAGGGGTCTGTTCTGGGACCCCTTCTATTTAACATTTTTATAAATGATCTTGAAGACCGCATTGAAAGTCATGTTTCAGTGTTTGCAGATGACACCAAACTTTGTAAAACAATACAATGTGAGCAAGATATTACTTTGCTGCAGAGGTATTTAGATAGACTGGGGGACTGGGCAATCAAACGGCAGATGAAATTTAATGTTGAAAAATGCAAAGTTATGCACTTCGGCGTAAAGAATACACAAGCAACGTATACCCTTAATGGAAGCGAATTAGGAATAACAACACATGAAAAGGACCTGGGAATTGTTATAGACAACAAACTATGCAACAATGTGCAATGTCAATCAGCAGTGGCCAAGGCCAGTAAGGTATTGTCATGCATGAAAAAGGGCATTCATTCTCGGGACAAGAATATAATTTTGCCTCTTTATAAATCATTGGTAAGACCCCATATTGAATATGCTGTGCAATTTTGGGCACCTGTTCTAAAGAAGGATATTATGGCACTAGAAAAAGTGCAGAGGCGGGCTACAAAATTAATAAAAGGAATGGAACATATCGGCTATGAAGAAAGGTTAACAAATTTAAACCTATTTAGTTTAGAAAAACGTCACCTGAGAGGGATATGATAACATTATACAAATATATTCAGGGCCAATACAGACCATTGTGTGGAAATCTATTCACAAACCGGACTTTACATAGGACACGAGGCCATGAGTTTAGACTGGAAGAAAGAAGATTTCGTCTAAGGCAAAGGAAAGGTTTTTTTACTGTAAGAACAATCAGGATGTGGAATTCTCTGCCTGAGGAAGTGGTTTTATCAGAGTCCATACAGATGTTCAAACGGCTACTAGATGCATACTTGCAAGAACAGAATATTCAAGGATATAATCTTTCAATGTAGGGTAATAACTGCTTGATCCAAGGATAAATCTGACTGCCATTCTGGGGTCAAGAAGGAATTTTTTTTCCTAGCTTGTTGCAAAATTGTGCTTCAAACTGGGTTTTTTGGCCTTCTTTTGGATCAACAGCAAAAAACAAATGTGAGGTAGGCTGAACTTGATGGACGCAAGTCTCTTTTCAGCTATGTAACTATGTAACTATGTAAAGAAGTGGAATAATCGTGAAAATGTGGATTAATGAATTCAACAGCAATTTAAGCAGAAATGTCACCTTTTTTTGCATATTGAGTTATCTGTTGTGCTTTTGTAAGACAGTCATTTTTATTTTATAATCTACTTTGCACAGATGGCTGTCTGACACCCAGAGCATACCATGTAAATTAATTTAATGAAGATGCCACCACAAACAGAAGTGCTGCAGATTTAAGAATATTTTTCACAATCCCGCTGCACAACTCTAAATGCTATTAAGGTGTTAGCTGTGTTGATGGATGACAAATTGTGACTCCTCTTCAAGTGAAGCTGAAAACATCAGTAATCCTTTAACACTATAGGGTCAGAAATACATGTTTGTGTTCCTGACCCTATAGTGATCCTTTAATTGATGACTTCTGTGTTACTGACCTTTGTTCAAATTGTTGGGTGTATGAAAATTGCTCTTTTAATATTATTTTACATGGATTAACATGCAAAATCGTAAACCTGTTCACTCTACAGAAACTCAATAAATGAAATTAATGTAGTTTGACCTGGTTTCAATAAGGGTATTCACTAACTATATTAATATAATATATTTGTTTGCTATATGACACTTGGGAAATTTAATGAGCAGGAAAGAAAATCACAAAGCAGGGATAGAAATCACAAAGCAGGGTTTGAAATCACAACCCCTGATGTGTACAAAATAAGCATAAAAAACCCCTGTGTGAATTTAATTTGCAACCCTTGCATTACAAGAGCTGTGCACTGCCTCTAGAATATCATGTAAGTAATGGATTAAATTGATTCATATTATATGCCATTCTAGGAATTAAATGGGGGCACTTCAGAAATGACCTCTGGTATGTATAGTGCTCTCTGATTGGTCAGATTACAATAGTGAGCACATCTGATGTGCTCTCTGATTGGACAGATTTAAAGGGACACTATAGTCAGAAATACAACTTTAGCTTAATGATGCAGATTTGGTGTATAGATCATGTCCCTTCTTACTGCTCAATTCTCTGCCATATGAGTTAAATCACTTTGTTTATGTAGCCTAGTCACACCTCCCTGCATGTGACTTACACAGCCTTCTTAAACACTTCCTGTAAAGAGCCATCTAATGTTTATACTTCCTTTATTGCAAATTCTGTTTAATGTAGAATTTCTTAACTCCTGCTCTGTTACCCTGCAGAAGATTTCTGTATGTGATTAAAGCTCAATTTAGAGAGCTGGTAATACAAAATTGTAATGCAAGTTACTATCTGATTTAAAATGAAACAATTTTGTATACAGACTGTGTGAGTCACAGCCATGGGAGGTGTGACCAGAGCTGCATAAAAATAAATCAAAGTGTTTTAACTCCTAAATGGCAGTGAATTGTGCACTTAGACTTCAGAGGCATGATCTATACATCAAAACTGCTTCATTATGCTAAAGTTGCTTTGGTGACTATAGTGTCCCGTTAAAAAATGATATAAATTCTACACATGCACAGTCGCACTCAACAGCTTAGCCAGACAGACATTATTCATTATTAGTGAGTCAGTCTGTGCTGTAGTGTTAGAAGGGGAGTGGCAATTATAGTGCTGTATTGTCTACCATTTGTAGTGGATATTTACAGATTATCCCTTTCTCAAAGGAAACCATTATCAGTAATTCACTCTTTTACCACAGGTGATATATTACTTTTTGTTATGACAACCATTATCTGTCCCAAATGGCCCTGTGGATGAGTCACTGTGTATAAATGTATGTGCTGCAGAGTTCCCAATCTCTAAAATGTATAGTAATGTCTGTGTGTATCAAATAGCACCAGAACAATGTACTCACAGTAATGTGCACTGTGCATGAGTCACAGAATGCTGCATCTTCAGTGTATATACGCCTCTGTACTAACTTATAACATTTGTTATACACCAAATGTTAGACAGTTAAATATTGCTAAGCAATAGTTAGCACAATTAAAATTGACAGACTACCTAATAAAAAAAAGACAAATATGTATACTCTGATTCAAGAGCAGATGAATATAAACCAACCAATTCTGCATCCATTTAAAGAATATTTTACCATTCATTTACTGGAGTCCTATTCAATTTCATGTTACATTCCAAATTAAGCTGTAACAAATTTTCACCTTAAAGGACCACTCTAGGCACCCAGACCACTTCAGCTTAATGAAGTGGTCTGGGTGCCAGATCCAGCTAGGGTTAACCCATTTTTTCATAAACATAGCAGTTTCAGAGAAACTGCTATGTTCATGAATGGGTTAAGCCTTCCCCTATTTCCTCTAGCGGCTGTCTCATTGACGGGGAGGAGAGAAGGAGGATCGGAGGAGGAGAGCTCCCCGCCCAGCGCTGGAAAAAGGTAAGTTTTAACCCCTTTCCCCTTTCCAGAGCCGGGTGGGAGGGGGACCCTGAGGGTGGAGGCACCCTCAGGGCACTATAGTGCCAGGAAAACGAGTATGTTTTCCTGGCACTATAGTGGTCCTTTAAGTTATCTTACTCTTAGAATACAACAGGCAACATCTGCAGTGGGATATTTGTGTGATAAGAAAATGTAAAGGATCCCATGTATAATTATGCACTTCTGAGGAAGGTAGATACAAAAAGGTAATAGAGTAGGCTAACACCATTGTGACAGGTTTATCCATAACAATTAGGTGTTAATAATTAGAATATTTTTGATAATTAATTGTTTAGTTGTACAAGGTCTACCACACAAATGGATGGATTGTTTCAATACATCACATTCTCTGTTAAATACAGTATTAGTTGTGCAAAAGTTATGAAGAAAGACCTTACAATGCAATGTGATAGATCGAAATTGAGACCAGACATTTCAAAACAAGTTCTTAAAATCTCCAGAGCAATAAACAAAATATACTGCAGCCTTGTTTCTTGACTTGGCTTTTGAATTTTGAAAAAACAACACTCTTAATCATGTCACTGACAATTATAAGGTTTATGTAGCTTGTTTGAAATGCATCCCATCCATGCTGCCCTCACTCCTCCTTCAGCCTTGCCTCTGGGACATCACTTACCCTGTAGTGTGGGAGATGTCATGAGACGAGAATCAGGCTGGGATCAAGGGTAAGTTTATTTTTTATATCTTTGTTTTTGAAAGTGAAGGGGTCTATTCCAGCTATGTTAATTTAAGCAAAAACAGGGTTTCATTAAAAACCAACATAAAACCTATTTTTAGTCTCTCCATGAACCAAGCAACACAGGCCCTTCTTCCACAGTACACACTAATGCTCTTTTTTCATTTTTCAAGATAATACTTTATTCATACAACCATATAAAAAACAAACAAATGCAGATCATAGAGAATTAAAGGCACCAAAGCTTGGGGCTTAAACATTTTTATCACCCCTGGTTTCCATAATAAATATAGAACATGGATTACACGTCGTGTAGTTAAAACATCAAATACTCACTGAAAATAGAGATTGCACTGTAATCCAGAATAAAATACTGCAACTCAATCTGGCATGTAACGGCCTTTAACCTGAATGAGCTCACATGCCGCAAGGCCCCATTATCAAGTTATCATTATCAGAAATTTAGGAATCTCTGCTAGACTAGAGAACATATGAGTAATTCCACAGTACAGCTGTGGACAGTTGCTAAATCACTGATTTATTGGCCACTGGCCATTAATGTTTTGTTGGAGCACTTGGCCAGCATCTATTCAAAGTCTGCATGGATATTCTCTCCTTTGTGGCTTTTATCTCATTTAAATTAATTACGAGAAAAACATGGCTTTCTTCTTTTACTAAAACGATGGGTTACTGTACATCTGCTACTATCTAATCTGAGATTCAAACATCAAGGTATAAATAACATCCTTAAATCTTGTAGGCACGAATATTACAGAGGAGCACCTCTGTAAGAACACAAATAGGTGTGATTAAAAATAGATGGATCTTTTATGTAACCACACCAGCATGCTCTTGGGAACTGCTCTGTCATATAGTTGGAAAGAAAACTAACAAAACCAAAAAAAAAAAGATGTACATTAATGGAAAGAAGTAGCATAAATCTGATATCTTTATATACTAACTAAGTTTGTTTAGAAACCAAGCTTTCAAGATCACCTAGTTATCTTTTGTAGGCATGGTCTAGAACTGGGGATCTAAAAAGCTTACACTTTAATCTACTTTGCTAGTCAATAAATGTACCACTTTTATTCTACTATGATCCCAAATATTTTGTGTGTGTTTTATTTGTATACAGTACTCTGAATTTCTTAAGCACCTTAGTTGTACATATTACTTCTAATGAGTTAATGGCGCCTACAAATATAAAATGAGGGAATATGACATTTCTTTTTGGTCGTTGTGTCCAAAATACACAAGTCGAAGAATATGTTCAGTGATTCCTTTAACAAAGTATGTTCACTTTTTATCACTATATGGATCTAATTTTTGTATTAATCAGATGAGAAAAATACAAAAGCAATTTTTTGTAACTCTCTGGTGCCAGACACTGCACAAAACTGTCAAGGCTGTGCCCATCCAGATAAACCACTGAGATAAACAAACATATGACTCCCTGCGAGTCTCAACAGGATGTAAAACGGAAGCAATATAATTTACAATCTGAAATAAGAGATGATGGAAACATATCTGAAAGTGCAATGTGTAGAATTTCTGGCACAAAAGCGATATCATATATCTTGGAGCCGCTGATGCAATATTTGTGTACACAAGCAAATGCCAAAATGCAAGTTTATATCTGGACTCTAAGTATATTGAAAAACACAAGGAAATTGCTGAATGAACTAAACTATGATATACACATGGAAACATGCTAACAATGATGGTCAGTGATGATTATGACGTTTGTGGTAGCCCTTGCTCCAATTTACCATTTACATACTCACTGATGTAGACTTAAAACCAAACATACTTACTTGTATGACATCCTGAATTACACTAGAAAATAAAGAACCATACAAATGGACTAAGACTACCAAGACACTACAGTAAATGATGACAACGATGACATGTAATGGTCCTTTATATACTAGATAATAAAGTTTTATTTCTTGTGGAATGGCTCTATGCATTAAAAAGCCATATTGTAACGTAACAGCATAATAGCAGGGTAAGCAGGTATATTAGCAACATAAGCCAATCCATGGTGTTTTTTTTTTTTAAATAGACATCAATGTTGTGATCTTCCCCTCATCCAATACAATTCCACCAAAGGAACATCATTGCATATAACAAAAATAACTAAGACACATGCCTTTTGTTTAATACAGTTAACATAAGTTGTGGCTTAATTTAATACGTTTTTTTTGTACATAAAAAAAAAAAAAACATATTTGTCAGCTATTTCAAAACACAATAGCAGTTATTCATATTACTGATTTTTTTTTTCTTTACAAATAATGAATGATAGGTAAATAATAGTTTATGTCCTGTAATTTTATATATAAACATTGCTCCAGCAATGTCTAAACACAAAACACTCACTACTTTCGAACATGCAATATGATCATGTTTCATGCATATGACATTTACAACTGTGTATGTAGTATTAGTCTTTAACAACAGAGAATTTTATAAAATTCTACATTTTTAATATTACCAAAATGAAGACAAACATTTATAAATAACCTGCCAAGTAAACTACACAATATAAAAAGTACAGAAATATGTTTCCGCTGGTCATAAAACACTGAAGATTAGATTTATTAATCTGGAGTTACAAAATATTTGTTCCGGAAAGTATAGATTCCATGAACAAAAACTGATGTTAAGATACTAACTAGTACTAAACACCTTGTATGTAATACAGAACCAGAAAATTCAGCTAGCTGTCTTTCAAGTTCCCATGTCATAAAAGTATAGGTATTTTCCATCATGGCTTAGTGGGTGTTTGTTTCTATTTTTTATTTACACTTTTGCCATAGGATTTATTTATTCATTTATAGAGATGGATTCTCAGCTGCAGACAATAATATCTTACAGTCAGCTGCCTGTGAGCTGTAGCTGACATTTCAAACTGTAAAATAAAATTTGTTTATACCCTAGGAATTTCCACGTGAGAAGGATAAAATTACAGATAGCAGTTACAACTAGTTTTCTGTTCTCATAATAGCTGATGATCGTGAAGAGAATCTTGTTGATGCCCATCGAGAAGGAGGACGTTGATTTGTGGGTCTTGCAGGACGTGAAAATCCTTTCCCATTTGGGGATGTCGTTATTGAAGAAGTCTAAAACAGAAAAGACATACTACTTATTTCATAAACATCACAAAATATAGGGAGTAAAAGAAAAAAGGCAAAGCTAGTAATGCTGTTATTTTATCGAGTGAGTCGCTTTAAAGCAATTTAATGTATGTGACATAGTGTTACTATTACCCAAAAGACTAGAACATTATTTTACCAACTTTTAAATTATGAACACTTGTCCTCGAATAAGAGCCAAGCATCTGAAAGTATAAAATGCTGTTTCCCCAGTTTTAGTACTTAAAGGGTTACTCTGAGCATCATTACTATTACAGTCCACTGTAGTGTTAATGATGCAAGGAGTACCATGTTGCTTTGTGTGTAGGGGTTTATAAAATACGCCTCTCTATCTAATAAGAAGTTTTTCCTCTTAACTAAAAACAGCATGAATTGTTAGCGTAGCACTCACCTAAGAGGTTTCGCTTTGACTTGGCAGGTGAGCTTATACTTTAATGGCCATTGGAGTACACTTAATAAGCTCCAGTTATTTAAATGTGAATAGGGATTTGGGATAGTGCGCAAGTAAGTTTTTTCTTTTGTACTTAAAATCTCCTATCTTAGCAAACAAATATTGATATTCAGTAATACCATATGGCCATATTGTATTAAAGGAACACTATAGGGTTAGGAACACAAACATGTATTCCTGACCCTATAGTGCTAAACCTACCATTTAGGTGGCTTTTCCCCCCCTATAAAAGTTTAAAACTCACCTTATTTCCAGGGCCGTGCAGGTCCAGCGGTGCGGGCTCTGCCCCCTTTGTGATATCATCAAAACAGACAATTTAAATCCAATGCTTTCCCATCGGCAAAGCATTGGATTGGCTAAAATCGGTACGGGGATGGGGCCAAATTAAGTTTTGGCCAATCAGGACCTCCTCAAAGAGATGCAATGAATCAATGCATCTCTATGAGGAAAATTCAGCGTCTCCACGCAGAGCGTGTGGACGCTGAACTTTAGGGCTGCTTTTTCGGCAGCACTGACCCAGGAAGCACCTCCAGTGCCATCTAAGGAGTGGCCACTTGGAGGTGTCCCTAGAGGCAATGTAAACACTGCCTTTTCTCTTACCTAACCCCAGACTCTCTCTTACAGCCTGTGCCCCAAACAACATTTATACATTTGCACTCAGGACCCAGAGCTAGCAGCCAAAGCCTCATGTAGAGGTAGCATTTCTGTATGATCACTCAATTTGCCTGTTCAAATCTATTTCTGCAAATGTTGCCCTTATTTACCACCCCCTGGTACCGATTTTCTCTCCCTTGGCCATTTTGCTGCCTGGCTTCCCTACGTCCTTTCAATTAATAGTCCTTCTTTAATTCTTTGGAACGTTAGCATTCCACTTAAACCACCCTTGGCCTTAGTTGCCTCAAAATGTCTTTAATTTGCTTCCTCCCTCGGGCTATCTCAGTGGGCTAATTCTCCCACGCAGGTAGCATGATCTTATATTTTCAGAACAGCCTGCCTACCCCAATCAGACTTTCCCCTATTCTTCAATCAGTTAAAAAGTCCCTCAAAACCCACCTTTTCAGAAATGCTTATGGCCTCCCAGAGTAACTTCTATTTCATAAACTTGTCTCTTGCTCTCTCTTAAAGGATAACACTCCACTGTCACCTTTCCCAACTTTATGAGTTGCTAACCCCTTTGATGCTCTTCTTGTTGTGTTTTTATAACCCACCTCCTCTAGATTGTAAACTCGTTTGAGCAGGGTCCTGATCAGCCTATTCTTCTTGTAACATTTTGTTAATGTCTAATTTGTTAAATTTCCCCCTTGATAACATTGTGAATGGCTGCAGAATAAATTGTTGCTGTAAAAATGTCAATAATAATTTAAACGGTTTTAAAGATTCTTATCTCTTGCTCTATTAATTAATGGCTAGATTAAATTAACAGAGCAGGATATATGTCTGAAGTAAACAAGATACATGATTGTTTAAAGTAAACACACTGTGCTGTAAGACATGATTGAGTCTGAAACCTTTTTTTTCATGGAGGGTGTGTGAATATCAGCCAGGGAAGGTGTGCCTATGGCTCCACAAACAAAAACAAAAGTGATTTACCTCCTAGATAGTAAAGCATTGAGCTGTGAGACTGCAGTGGTATGATCTATACAACAAAACTGCTTCATTAGGCAAAGTTGTTTTGTTGCTTATACTTTCCCTTTAAAACTTAGACACCATCTTAACCAAATAAATAGTCAACAGGAAGAGAACCTTCATGGACAAATGCTTCAAATCTGGCTTGTGCATTAGTTCAAATGAGAAAAGTAAAACACCCAGAGAACCCGATTCAGACTTCATGTGGTCGCAGGATGAATCACCAGACAAATATGGTCCAGAGCCTTGCACAAAGGTGTGAACATCAGATCCTTTTAAGTACTGTCAGACTAGCCTCTATCTTGGAGAAATTCCAGCACTTTGGATGTACTGAAGAACTCCTACCTATAACATTTACTTCCAGGATTATTCTCTAAAGTAAGACTTAAAATTTAAGGTCAAAATAGCCAAGATGGATTAATTCTCTAAATCAGCTATGCTTTCAGTTCTTCGGCTATGTGGGCCTTACATTTAAAATTCACTTTGAATTCTCACATTTGTAAATAATCCTACAACACAAGTGCAAACTCATGATAGATGTTTGTTGAAACAGGAATCATTGCATGAGGGTACCAATGGCTAGGCAAGAGAAACCAATCTATCTCAGAATTTGACATTCAAGCACCATGCCATATCAAAAGCAAGGACCTCAGGTCCAGATGTCTGAACAACCCCATGACCATTATGTTTGGATGTAGGGGGAGAGTCCAAGTTTCCAACATCTTGTATTGAATTTTGATGCTGACATACTGAATTCAAGATTTCCCACTTGTCCACAAGATAGGGGTGAACACTTCTAAATGGAGACCCCATACCCCCACAGAAAACATCTAGCAGCTGAGAATATTAGCCTCCAAGGTTCAACTATTAGAACCTGGGGGGTGGAACCTGACCTCCGAGCTGTGCAGACTTGGGCAGCACAAGCTCTTGCCTGGCGGGGTATAATCAGGAGCTACATAGCCACAAGACTTACCGGGGTGCACTGCTGAATCAAGTGACACCTCTCTGGAGCCCGTCAAGGCCTGGAGACCGGAACGCCACCCTACGCCACGCCACTGCCTACTAAAGTTGGAGCTGGGGAGAGGCGGCCGCTCTCCCTGACACTGGACTCACCTAGCGACTCTGCTGGTCTCCTCCCCCCCCCCCTTTGGACCGGTGGGGGTTATCCGGGTCCCCACTGGGTGAACGGACTAACGCTCTCCCTGCTGCATCAGCATACCGCTCACAGCATACACCTAACGGTGCCCAGACTACACAAGATGGTGGAGCCCCATCCACAAGCATCGTAAACCTTCAGCCAGTCACAAGGGCAGAACCAAGGCACCTTCGAATCCAGGCTGGATGCACTATTCCAGGCCTTCTGGGACAAGCTGCAGGCACGTTCCACTGCCATCTGGTCCAAATAGAGGACGGAGAGATGCTCACGGACGGCAACAGGAGGGACACCTCCAGGAAGCACACCCACCCAAACGCTTAACTGCAGCAACGACCGCCTGCCTAGGCTGAAAGCCACCAGAGGCATGACCTTGAGACATCGACCACACAGGAGGAATGTTGCACGCCGCTGGCGGCAGATGCCACCTTGATCTTCCAACTGCCCCTTGGGCCAGGACTTGGCTGTGAAAAGGTACCGAGTCCGTGGACAGAGGGTGTTGACAAAGGCATGGGGCTGGAGGCATATCTCTCTTACCTATCGCCCCCCAGCTGATCCCGGGACATTGCATGCATGCTCGTCAGACTTGCCACCCCAGGGAATTGGCTGACATGTCCGCGGACCCGCAGTCTGGCAAGTGGGACCTGATGAGGAAGGCGGAGGCCATAAAGGACTGAGCCCACCAAGCAGTACTCACTGCCTTTTTAATGTTAACGTTATGTGCCCTACTATCTCACATGTCTCTAGTGCAGCAATGTGTAACATTCCATGCCCCAGTGGTTCAAAGCTTGTTTAATACGACAGCTCAGGGTATTTAACTTTAAATTTACATAGCCATAGCTCTTTGTTTCCTGTTTCCTAGTACTGTGTGTGGTAAGCATCAACATGGAATAATTCAGCATCTCATGCACACAGGTGTCTTTCAGCGACAATTCACAGGGACTACCAGCATACTCTTACCTAAATCTAATCATACTATGCCGTATTTACCAGCACGTTCTCTTACCCTATCTTATATAAAATTGTGCTGTTCCATCGCAATTGTACATAACCTAGATTTTATACCAAATCTGCCTGCAAACTACCTGTAGAATTGTGTCAATTCATATGCCTGCTGTTGTTGTTGTGATGCAGCAGGATATTGTATAGATTGTATACTTTTCAGCACTGCAAAAATAAAAATTTATTTAAAAAAAAAAAAAAAAAATATTGGAACCTGAACTGTAGAGTCCACTGAAACTTCCTGATGAGTGATTGGCAAAAGGAATGGCAGTGACATTGTTGCAATGGTGACTTCCTACAGATGAGGTCACAACCTGAAAATATGAAATACCTCTCAATGGTTGAGGACACTGGTTAGTAGCCTTGCCTCCAGAGGAGAACCAAGCCCGCAGTGAGCTCCTCACAATATACCCAAACCTCAGTTGATGACATCCATTGTCACCATGGACCAGGTGGGACTGTGAAATGAGCAACCTTAAGTCAAAAAGGAGTGAAAAAAGTACTTCATTAGAAGAACCAGGATAATTCTGTTACAGAGATCTGAAGAGTCACCGTTGTTGTAGGGGTCCAAAGGTAAAAGATAGCCAAATATATTGTGTCCAAGGGCGCTACCAAGATTCAAAATCCACATCAATCTTCCAGAGCTAGAAAACATGAGACGGGTAGAGCAAAGCTTTGGCGACAGGAGTCCATGAGGAAAATTCTCATGGTGGCCATTTTCTGTACCAAACCTAGAAAGGATACCATATCCCTAGTATTGGGAACTAGTGAATTCTTAGATGAGTTGGCATGCCATCCATAGTCTCACACTAGTAAGAGAAGTTGATTAATAGGGAGGACTGCTTGATTGGCTGGAGAAGGATGTCATCCAGGTTTAGGGGAACTGAAAGGCTGGGATTGTGTTCCCAAGTTTTCAGGGCACCAAACACTTTGATAAAGACTTGCAGGGCCATGGCTATACCAAAAGGTAGCATAACAAACTGGTAATCACGGTCCAAGAACACAAAAGAGACAAACTGATAGTGATCAGAGTTGATATGGATATCCATAAATGTTCGACCAGGAACCTTCCTACGAAGAGGGAAAAAACAACCTCAGGATTTCCATACAGAAGGTGGGAACTTGCAGAAACATATTTAAGACCTAAGCAGTAGCATGAATCCATGATATTGAACACCCAATGGTCATTATGGAACTGTGTTTTTCATTTATTTTTTAAGATGTTGTAGAAATTAATACACACACAATGCATCTACTACACAAATACTGCATTCCTTACACACACACACTGCTTCCACTATACAAACACACACTGCATCCAGCACACACACTACATTCACTATACACACACACTCCTTCCACTATAGAAACACACACTGCATCTAGCATATACACACTGCATACACTACACACACTGCACCCGTTACACACAAACTGCATCCACTATACAAACACACACACACACACTGCATCCTATATACACACACACACACAATATATATTCACTATACACACATTACATTTACTATACAAACACACTGCATCCACCACACAAACACTATTGCCACTATGCAAACACACACTGCATCCACTACATATATACTGCATACAATATATACACACACTGCATACACTACACACACTACATTTCTTACACACAAATTGGATTAAATATACAAACACACATGCTGCATCCACTGTACACACATGATGGTGGAATGGGTGGTGGGCCATGTGGGCAGACTCCAGCATTTCTAATGGAAGCTCTGTACAAGTGTATGTGTAGCAGATATCTTGAAGAGTGTTGCAACAAGCTAGAAATCTCCATAATCTCAAAATAACAAACGCTCATGAAAAGGGGGATAAATGATAACTTGTCCAAAGGAATCCACTGAAGAGTTGTGAGCTTAGACAACATGAAGATAACCTCCAGCAAAGGTTAACTTAGACAACTGTTCGGGACTATATAGACTTCAAAATGCTGTATTTTCTGCTTGTTTCCTGAAAAGAATAGTGAAAATGCAAGAGCCATAGTGATCCATGAGTTAAAACCTTGGAAAACCATGGAGACTATCAAGAAACACATAGATAATGTATTAAAATATATGCAAAAACAATAAATAAAATTTATAAAAAGATGTTTGAATAAAAAATTATTTTTTTTATAAAAAGATGCACTTGAAGTGCCTGCATTTATGGCGAATCCCCAGACTTGCAGCTTCTACAGTAAACCAATCTCACCAAAAGTGACTCAGCTGATGCTATCCTAATCTTTTATAGTATCATACCGCCTAAAATTTCAAATGGACAAACAGAGACTCTTTAACTTTAGGGAATACGAGTAATTTTGAAAATGCATCTATTGCAGTATTATTGCTGGGGAGTTCTGTTATACATTCAAACACACAAACAATACTGAGCTCCTAGAAAACACATATTAGATATTAGAAGAGAAAAGAGGAACAAAGGGATTTGGGCCTAAATATAGAGACTGTCCCTCCTAAATAGAAACATTTGGGAGGTATGTAGTAGTGCTACAGCATATATCCCATAAACAGTGCTTTATGGTCACAGTGATGGTTTCTGGGTGTTGAGGTACATCGTCAGCTTTCCATCTCTAGTCATGACATTGTGCACATTAGTATTTTAGTACTTACATTGGGGTGAAGAGAAAGAAAGGGTACGCGTATATAGGAAAAGTAATTAAACAAAAAAAGCAACACAAAAAAACTAAAGAAGGTAATACAAATAAACACCTGTTATAGCTGATCGTAACACATCCAGCAAATTTCAGGTAACATGATTGAGTGCCTGGAGTACCCTTTATCTGACTGAATAAAACAAAGCAGAAATTACAAAACATTCTCAGGTTTATATTGTCCCATTAAAGGAACACACCAAGATCCCAATGAGCTAATCCCTGCACGGCAAGGCTTAACTTAAAATTTCATATTTAGGAACTTCAAACTTTCTGGCGTTTGTAGTGGAGGCTGGAAGTGGTGATAGCTGAAAGTTAGGGTCCAAGCTGATACCACCATACTGACCTCTGTCTCCAATGCAACAAGTTTGGATAGAGAGACAAAACCTCTTTTTGCTTTGGAAGTGGTGATACCCCATGTAAAAGTCAAGCCACTCAAAAACATTTGACTACTAACAATAGGGTAAGCCAGGGTGGTCCTGGCATCATATCCACTGCAGTGAGTTGTAGTGGTTATGGTGCTCAGAATGTTCCTTTAACTAATAGTATGTATATTATAGGAACCCTTTTATTTGTTATATGTTTCTTAAAAAGAGAACTCATATATATTTATCACAATTAAATGTTTACCTCTGGTGGATTGAAGTTCAACGCTTCTTGCCTAGGTTGCCAAAGAATGGAAATGTCATTCTGCAAAGTCTTTGGTGATTTTTCAATCTGTAGCATTTCTAAACACTGAGTCAGTGCTTCTGAGCCAGAATCTGACAGTAGGAAATCTGATTGTGTCAATTTACTGGACGAATGCTTAGAACTACCCAATGGAGAAGCAGTTTTATTCTCATAGCTCTTCAAAAGTTTTTCAACAACTCTATAATTGGACCTGGAGTCTGCAGAGCGAGGACGTCCTGACAAATTGCTTGGCTTCCAGTTGTGCTCCTGTAACATAGTCTGGTAGCTGCTTGTATTATGCGTTTCAGTTGTTTGAAAGGATTGACTTGCCACTTTCACACTCTTGCTTGTACTATGAAGGTTGCGGTCTACAGACGCTTGCACAGTTTTTTCAGGAGTACTGGTGCTTGTACTGGTAGTAACAATGGTTGGACAGTCACATAATGAATGATTCCAAGACTCTTCATTACCAATTTGGGACATGTCGAGAGGTAGTTCAGGAATTAATTCACTGCCTTTGCCTGTTTTAAATACAGTTCTATTAAATTCATCAATCTTTGCTGCAAGCTTTCCATTTTTCATTGTACTATTATAATTAGAACCACAACCCAAAGGAGAATGTTCTAACAATAACATATCTGAATGCATATTTCCAGTACATTGTAAGTCACATGAAGAAGCAGGGACATTTCGGTTATCTTTTTCAGCACATGCTTTCTTACTTAAGAAAGTCTTTGTCATATTGTCTTCAAGTGTATTAAAATCACAAAGACCCTGCATGTGGCATATCCCGTCATAGTTTGTATTAACCATAAACTCTGCATGCTTATCAACCACCTCCTTCTTACTTGCAGTGGGGTAGGCATCGGGACATATTTTGCTTTTATTAGACAATAGTGTTTTATCCATTTCAGGAAACTGTGAATTTGTTAAGTGCCATGAGAAACACCAAGATGGATATGATGAATCTTGTACTTCCAAAGGCATGTCCACTAGTTCCGAATGTGTACTCAAATTGTCACACAAGGTGGCTTTCATGTAAGTGGTACCCTTGGATTTATTTTCACCAATATTTTGGGTATTTTTGCTTAAAACAATGTTCTCAACTTTTGAAGCTTTGTCTTTTGCTTCTTTGGCTTGTCCAATGGATGGAACTGACACAATTCTGTTCATTTCAAATGAAATTAAAAAAAATAAAATTTAATTATATATAACTTATTTGTAACATACATTTCAATTGCTTAATATTACATATGAATAACCACTAGCAAAATGATAATTGTTGTAATTAAAATTGGTGAACTGTCAAAGTGTTATATTTTAGGATGTACTAGTATTTAGTTTTTTCTATGGGAGCACGTTATATTCACTACGCATTGAGGATGGTTAAACGGTGAGGTATAATTTTTACCCTAGTTAGCTCCAGCATGCTACTCAAAGCTGAGGCAAAGCTTGCCAACCAGTTAAGAAAGCAGCTAAGCCTGCTTATCAGATAAGACAGGGTGAATGTTTACTCTAAATGTTCTTGAAGGAGGAGGTCTATTTTAAGCAGTCTAATGAACAAGGATGTCCCTTCTATGGAAATAATACAATTGAACAAAACATTGAACATAACATATAACCTTTTTTAAATATGAGTCCAATTTTCTCTTAAATATATATAAATATATATAAAAGATTTAGCAATAGAAATAAAAATCCAGCTGACTGACAGTGAACACATATTGTTTTAGAGGTGGAGAAACATTGGGACTTACACATAAAGTGTTGTGTTTGTATGGATTTTTTTTGGCATGTTTGGCAATTTACTATCTTTAGTGTGCCTTAAATTTCCTTTTTTCTAATATTACTTTTTCAATATCATTTTTAGTCCTTAATATTGCTGCGTGCTATATATAAAAAGGGGGCAGTGCTCTCATCCTCACGTGTGTAATTTTCTTTAACTATGTAAGATATATTTTATTAATTATTTTAATTTTAACTGAACTATTTAGCCTAGTTATTTATTAACAATAGTATCATTAGACACTCATTTTGAAACTATGCTGTCTGTAAAAAAAATTCAATAAATAAGCTAGGAAAATGACACTGATAAACGAGCCACACAACTTGACTAGCAGGGAAACAATTATTCTCAGAGATTATGGCATGTCAGAACAGGAACAAAATGTGCCAATGTCTGAAGATGTTAAAAACAAGCATGACACGTTTACTACATAAACCCATTGTTTATTGTTTATAACACTATGGATTTGATTCTAGATGGAGACACCCAGTTCCAGAATATAGATAAATATAGGGATGTGAATTACTAATGTTATTTTATTTTGCCAACGGTTATACTTTAATGAGAAGGTTGACATTACTAATTGGGAACAGTGATTAATTATTTTTATTGAATAATCTATTTTCTTTCAGACAGATGCATTCAGGCAGTGAACTTCCAAAAAAACCACTTGGGATTCTTTTTGAGCACTATAAAATCATTACATTCATAGGTTTTCTTACTTTAAAAGAAGCAAAAAAGTTATTTTAGATTTTAGTGACCATTTAACTAGTAGCAAAAACAGGTACTACCAAAGACAATCACACTGAAGAGAACACTATAGCGCTAGGTTTACAAAGTTGTATTCCTAATGATATAGTGTTACTGTCCCTATTTGCAGACGGGACCTCCTCTGTGATGGTCCAATCCAAAGCTCCTCATAGAGGAACCCCGGTTCAAACCTTCCCACAGGAAAGTACTGAATCAATGCTTCCCTATGGGACCTCCATGTCACGTGACCAAGCACCTCTAGTGGCTGTCATATTGACAGCCACTAAAGGGGACTTAACTCAAAACAACAATGTTTTATATTGCTGGGTTAAGGGCACAGGGACACTGCACTTCATTGAGATGAAGTGGTCTGGGTGACTATAGTGTCTCTTTAAATGATTGATATGGGCTTTTTGTTGGCAATGAGCTTTTATGTCAACACCATTGCCTTTTGCATGAGTGAAACTATATTATATAGAAACAAGGGTTATTTTATTAGGAAACAGTGTGAACTGGGCCAACATGTTTCATGTTGTTTTGCAAGGTCGGGAAATTATATGGCAACATATTTAGTTTCTTAGGAAACTGAGTTTGCTGATTTTCTTTAAAAACTATGTCCTAAGTGCATTCCTCTCCATCTTTTCAATAGTAGTATTACTTTGTAATAGATATATAAATCCCAGGGAATGTTTTAATGTTAAACATCTGTAGTTCTGTTCAACGGTATCAGTAATGGCATTAATACATTGACACAAGGATAAGGAGAAATCTGCTTTGCTTCCTTGGAATTTCAGTTCAGTGAGTCATCTAACACAATTTTGAGGAATACATTTTTTTTTTAAAAAACTAAGATAAAGTTAAAAAAGAAAAAAAAATCATGCTCAATGAAAATATAGCAACTGCAATGTAGAGTCTTGGACTTCATTAGGTAAACTGGCAAAACACAACTTTTATTACTTAAACCTGACATCTTGACTACCATTGCATTACTACCCTTGGGCAGTCAGTCTGTGATCTTAGAGAGTATTGCTGATTTGCTGATTGGAGATCTTTTACAGATACTGTTACATGTCAGTTGTAAGTTTCAAGAAACTGACCAGATAAGTACACCGAGAAACTGTTTTTTGTTAATTACTGATTAGGTTGAATTAATCAAGCCATGTTAATATAAAAAGAAAGAAAGTGTTATCAGAAATACGGTATATGTAGAAACAACAACATTATTTCTCATAATGTTCTGGTTGACTTTGCATTAGATCCCATCTATGTATTTAAGAAACTTTCCATTTAAGAATTATTTTATGCAGTTCTTACTATAAAGTACTTTTGCTCGTTGTCTAGGTCAAATATTCCTAATATTCCTTGATAGGATCATGGGTTCATTAAATAAACAAAACGTTAACTATTATGTTGGAATTATTTATTTTGAATGCAACAAGCACAGAACTTTATAATTAGTGGTTAACAAACTTAATAATTATAACCTTAAAGGATCACTATAGGGTCAGGAACACAAACATGTATTCCTGACCCTATGGTGGTAACACCACGCTCTAGCCCCCCTTGGCCCCTCATGCCTCCATAAATATAGTAAAAATCTTACTGTATTCAAGCCAGAAGCTCTAACTTCTGTTTGCCAAAAAAAAGCAGTCTGCTGACATCATCAGAAGTGGCATGATCCAATCACAATGCTTCCCCATAGGATTGGCTGAGACTGACAAGGAGGCAGATCAGGGGCAGAGCCAGCATTATTCAAACACAGCCCTGGCCAATCAGCATCTCCTCACAGAGATGAATTGAATCAATGAATCTCTGTGAGGAAGTTCAGTGTCTGCATGCAGAGGGAGGAGACACTGAATGTTTGAATGCATTTTAGGCAGCCATGACCCAGGAAGGATCTCTAACAGCCAGGAGTGGCCAGTGCAGTTATCACTAGGCTCTAATATAAACACTGCATTTTCTCTGAAAAGACAGTGTTTACAGCAAAAAGGCTGAAGGTAATGATTCTACTCACCAGAACAAATTCAATAAGCTGTTGTTGTTCTGGTGGCTATAGTGTCCCTTTAAATGTTTCCTTTACTGCCAAGGGTTGTCTGGATCCAAGCAGCCTTTATTTTTATAGTACTTCCTGTGACATAAAAAATTTCCTGATTGAACTGAAAAACAGAGGAGTAATGTCTGCAATTTCAGATTTGAAACCTTATTGGTAAATTTCATGTCACACAAGCTACAGGTGCTATGGTTAAACTAGGACACATGTCACTGATTGAACATCCTTTTGCCACTGTCGATAATCCATGATTACTTTCCTGCTGTTGATGTTATCCATGTCACACCTTTTGAGTATCGCATTAAAACAAAAATGTCTTGGGGGTGGGGGAACTAGGACACATGGGGCATTTCTCTCAAAAATACTCTATAGTACCTCAATTAGTGTGAGAGATGATCACAAATATATTTAATTCAATTAACTATGTAAATAAATGTTTCCTTTACTGTGCTTACGCATTATTTGAACACCTACTTTTTGCAGCTGGTTTTCTTGCGAATCTCTTCTTGGTATTTACATAGTTCCTCACTCACTCTGGCTATTTCTTTTAGTGCCTGAAACAACAGAAATATTAAAATTTCTATTACTATTTTTTTTAGTACAAAATATAGTGGATATTGCATAGTAAAGTAATAACTCACATCATTCAGGGTGTCGTTGTCTGTTTTGGACATTTTGTGATCAAAGCAATTTTCATGCTCCAGTTTGTGATGGGCTAACTCCAGTATTGGCTCCTCACTTAGATTAGGATACACTTTTGACAGCATCCTTCTACTTGGTTCCTTGTTGTTGTTGATTGCATTATACTGTTGAATGTGTTTTGTTGTGTGATTTTGTTCATTGGGTTCACCATAAACAAAAGGCGCTGAAAAAGGCAATGTTTTTCCCTTGATCTCCGTGTCCTCTTCATTCAGTTTGTTCTCCCTTCGAAGCTTCACCTCCTGATAAAGCTGTGAACAAGATAGGAAGTCACCAATATAGATGGTAATCCAGAATGTTATGAACAAAAGTATAAAGAAGATCTGGCACACAAAAATTACCAGAACAGTGACTTTATTCTGAACCCTCCAGCAGCGTTTCAGCCTTAATAAGGCTTGATAAAAAAAAAACATTTTTGGGCCAAAAACATTTCTGGAAGGTTCTGAATTAAGTTATTTTTATATGTTTAAACACAACCATATGCAATGTAAAGATTTCCCCATGACTTTAACTGGTGGGTTAACTCCCAACACCTTATAATCTGTCGGGACTGTCACTCGGCATAAAGTAGTTTTTCATGAGAGAGATAGTTTGTAATAAAAGATGGCTATAGATAAAATGGTTTTATCACATACAATGTAATTTTTGACTTACTATAATATATGAGGATTTAGCATTGTTGCAAATACTTTTCTTAAAAATATAAACTAAAATGTGATATTTGTGTTACTGTTTTTAAAATTCAAAAAAGAAAACACATGTTAAATGCACAGGCAGATGAAAAATGTTGTGTAACTTCTTTATATAAGTATATATATATATACTTATGCATGTTAGCAGCCACCTTATGAGGCTGTTTCTAGCTGACAAAATAATTGTCACATGGCATCTGTGTAAAAACAGTATACATTTACTGTATGTATCAAGATCAACAAAAACATCAAGTTTTATTAGCCAGCCTATCTAAGTTTTAGTATGTACATTTTAGCCATGCATTACATAGTTACATAGGCTGAAAAGAGACATGCGTCCATCAAGTTCAGCCTTCCTCACATTTTTTTTTTGCTGTTGATCCAAACATGCGTCTCTAAGTTTTCTAATTTACACTTCTTGATATGTGTATGACTGTAAGTGTGCATGCTTTATTAAGCGAAATTAAATCGAATAATATGAATGCTGAAAATAGCTTGTATGATCATTGGTATTTACTAAAGTTTGTCCACTAGATTCTGATGAAGATGATTGGGGAGGTTGATTTAAGCTAGCCCCTACTCACGCATTTTACTATCTAAATTGGGTAGAATCACCAACAATCTTACTTAAAAATGTAACTCAAGCTGATCTTGCCTTCCTTGCCCTCACCAAACAGTCAAACCTTTTCTTTCTCATTAGCTCATTCTCCCGCAATCCCAGGCATCTCCTTGACACCTTTAATTTTCTTCTTTGCCCTGATGTGGCCACCCCCAAAACTAACCTTACAGCCGATAGCTTTGCATGCTACTTTACCGACAAGATTGAACAGCTATGGAAATAATTTTCCCCACCTTGCCGTTCTCTTTCTCAACCACACGTAGATCATGCCTTTCCTACCCTTCAGACTTTCTCCCTGGCTACTGAACAAGAGGTGGCTGTGCTTCTCCTTTCCTCTCTCCCCACCACTTGCCTGCTCGATCCTATCCCATATCACATTATCTGATCTCTCTCCCCTTTGTCTTGTGCCTTCCTTCTGGCGTTGTCCCTGCTGACCTTAAACATGCCACTGTAGTACCTATCCTGAAAAAAAATCTCTTGACCTGTCCTCCCCCTCTAACTATTGTCCCATATCCCTGCTCCCTTTTTCCTCAAAGCTTCTGGAAAGACTTGTCTTTCCCCGTGTGTCTCACTTCCTCAATTCCAATTCTGTCCTTGACCCTCTTCAATCTGGCTTCCGCCCTCTCCACTCTACTGAGACTGCTCTTATCAAAGTTACTAACGACCTAATCACAGCTAAATCCAAAGGCCATTACTCCATAATAATTCTTTTTGACCTTTCTGCTGCCTTTGACACCGTTGTTAATGCTCTACTTCTTCAAACTTTTCAATCATTCAGTCTCTGTGACTCTGTCCTCTCGTGGTTTTCCTCTTATTTCTCTCAATGCTCATTCAGTGTCTCCTTTTCTAATGATACCTCCTTCCCTCGTCCTGTCTCGGTTGGAGTCCCCCAAGGCTCTGTCCTTGGTCCCCTTCTATTTTCTCTTTATACTGCCTCTCTTGAAAAATGTATTACCTCTTTTGAAACCCACTACCACCTTTACGCTGATGACACCCAGATATATCTCTCCTCCCTGGGCCTCTCCCCTACCGTCCTGCAATATGTCACTGCTTGCCTTTCTTCCATCTCTGACTGGATGTCCTTGTCTCTCCTCCTTCTAATACTGATCCTCCTCTTTTGCTCTCCCTTCAAGTTAGTGGAATCCACATAAGTCCATCCTTGCAAGCGCGCTGTCTTGACGTCATACTTGACTCTGGCCTCACATCCAGTATGTTGCCAAATTCTGTAGATTCCATCTTAAAAACATAGCCCGCATCCGGCCCTTTCTTACGCAAGATGCTACCAAGGAGCTTGTCCATGCTCTAGTAATTTCCTGCATGGATTATTATAACCCTCTCTTGATTGGTCTTCCCAAAGGCCGCATTGTCCCTGTACAGTCTGTAATGAATGCTGCCGCCCGACTGATTTTCCTCCCTAGTCGGTCCTCCCACACCACACCCCTCTGTAAGTCCTTACATTGGCTTCCTGTATCCTATAGGAGTCAATTCAAAGTGCTAACCCATACCTATAAAGCACTGAACAATTCTAGCCCCTCTTATATCTCTTCACAGATCCATAGGTATGCCCCTTCTCGGTCTCTCCACTCTACCTGTTACCTTTTCCTGTCCGCTCCTCTCACAACTCACGCTTGCAGGACTTCTCGCAGGCCGCTCCCTTCCTATGGAATAGCCTGCATACCGCCATCAGACTCTTCAATTGTTTAAGAAGTTAAAACCTCTTTAGGAAAATGTATGGCCTCCCAGAGTAACCTCTACCTCACATACCTCACATACCTGTCTCTTGCTCTCTCCTAAAGGGCAGCACTCTACTCTCTACTCCTCTCAAAATATTGTAAAGCGCCATGGAATCTGTTGGCGCTATATAAATGGCGATAATAATAATAATCTGATCTATCCTTTGTAGTGTGTCTTGAGGCTGGCTGACTATTTATTTATGTTTCTTTAGACTGACTTCTCAAGTGAATTTTTAAGGAGCAATCATCTGTCTGCCTCAGGAGTTCCAGAAAAAAAAATGTTAGGTAATCCTTCAACTCCTGCATTGATTGCAACTGTGCAGACACCATAACTTCTGATATCAGTAGACTATCAGAAGCTACACAGCTTTGTATCATAGAATGTAGGCATTTCTAAATCCCACTTTTTTGAATTAAATAAGATGGCTGCGATCTATTTATATATAATACCAGAATGAACCAAAATGCTAATTCAATTGCTAGGAGCTAGATTCTTGCAACTCTTACCTTACATAGCTGGCTCTAGTCTTACCACTGAGTACCCAAAAATTTCAGATGAAAGTTCAATGTGCTAATCCATGCATTTAGATCCCTAACAAACACTGTACAACCACTTTGCTTTTCTCTTCCTATAATCTCCCAACAACATTGCTCTGACGTTTACTCAAACCAGTCTCTCTCAACAGTTACACTCACATTCCACAGATTATTAATGAGCAAGCAATACAATTATGTGATTACTTGGGTATCCAGAAAGTATTTTGGGTAATCACATAATTGTATTGCTTGCTTATTAATAATTAACTATAACAATTCATCAAAATTACAAAACATCCTATTAAATCTCCTCTTTCCATTTAATTCCATCTCTCCAAGGAATCTTATCTCAAAATCCTATCCCCTCTTTCCAGTGCAGCCCTCTGTCTTTTTGAGTCACCTCATATCCAAGCTGAATTCTCACAAATGCATCTCAATATAAGTAAGGCATATTCTTTGTAATGTTCTCAAATATGCTTATGTTTGGGAACATACAATGATGCCATACCACATACCAAACACTGTGTAACATACTTCTATTGTGCAGAGGAATGGAACTTGCTGGTGACAACAACATTGTAATAATTGTGCTTTTTCTAAAATTGTATACCCACTGTACCTCTTCTATCTTCCTCTGCATTATCTTCCACTGGCTTTCCCATTCTCTTCTTTCACTATCAAATCTTTCCATTAATTCCATCTTTTCAACTTTCCAGTTCCTTTCATTATTCTCTATCTGTCTTCTCAGCTCCATGGCTGCAGAGTGAGTGTCTTCCAGTAATCGTTTTTGCACCTCTCTCTCTTTCCTCTGGTCTTTATGGATGATAGAAGTTGTTTTATTTGTGCATATCTTGGCAGAATTGGCTCCTGGCTATGAATGGGATTGTGTGAGGAAAAGAGAAAGAAAAATAAAAACTCTGATGCTTACAAGGTCATTATAATTTTTTTTCTAATTAATAAAAACACCTGGAATTTAATATGATGACATAAATACAATTATTTAACAATTTTAAGTTCAGTTGATCAAACATTTTATATTGTTTGTCAGATATATGGAATAAAGGTTAGAGTTGAACATCTGTTAGAGCATTATGCAGAATGCAGGGACAGCCTGTTACAGTCTCATGGGAATTCAGGAAAGTGGTGCTGGGAGATGCTGGGGGCTGCATTGAAGGGCTGGAGAGGGGCTGCTGGGGAACGGAGGGAGCACTGACAGTCTCCCTTCCGAATTCCTGCTCCGCCTCGTGGACATAGGCTCCTTACCCATGATGCAAGCTCCACAAACATCTGCAAGCCCCGCCTCCCACAAGCTCCGCCGCCCCCGTTAAGCAGCAAACCTTGCTGCAAGAGGAAGAGGCAAGGAAATGGCTACCTGACCTCCCATCAGTGCCAGGTAGGCCTAAAATACTTGTGTGTGTGGTGATTTGTGTCATGGGTGCTGTGTGTGTTGGTGGTGCTGTGTATGTGTGTCAGAGGTGCTGTGTGTATAAGGAATGCTAAGTGTATGTGAGGGGTGCTGAGTGTGTGTGAGGGGTGCTGAGTGTGTGTGTCAGAGGTCTGCCCCGGGGCCGCTTTCTGCTGTGGCTGCGACCAGCCAAAAAAATATTTCCTGATTCTTGCTCTCCCGGCCACAGGAGGGCAGAGTGGCAGTCTGTCTGCAGAGCAGACCAGAGCAGCCACTCCCCCTTCCCTCCTGCTCGCAGTGTCAGAAGGAGCATCTGGCCTGCTTCAGCAGGGCTGGAGCTGAAGAACGGACAGCTGTCAGGATTATATTGATCCAGCACGCAGAATAGTATCACACCCTAGAACTAAGGGTAACGTCTTACCGGGCCTTAGAATGGCCGAACTTAATATACCTGAGAATAGTCAGAAAACCAGCCGAGGTCAGGGACACAGAACGATACACAGCGATAAGGAAAAGCCAAAAGTCAAGGGTACCAGAAATCAGGGAAGTCAAAACGAAGCCAAAGTAAAAAAAACAGAAAAACACGATCAGGAACACACTCTCGGATAACCATCTAGAGGAAACCCACACAGGCCAATGAGCTAAGGGAATACAAGACTTTAAATAACCCTTTTGCATATTTGATTGACCCCAAAACGTGCTTGTTCATCTTTTGCGCGACGTCACCCGCACGTTGAGGTCCTCTTTACCGTAGATGGACATGGGGCAATATAATTGTGTGGGTCCGCAACGGCCGGCGTCCACCGACATGCCGCAAAAGCCCGGCATGATAGTAGAAGACAGCTGAGTAGCACTCCCCTCTAACTTCGGAAGGTAATTATCTCAATATTTGTCCTATGGAGACAAGGAATACGTGACAACAGCAAATTGTAAGGGGGGCTTGGGGAAAGGGGAGGGGGTATTTATTTGGGGGAGGGAGGTGGCCAGTGTATTAATTTAAGGGAGGGAGGTGGCCAGTGTAATAGAGTGGTGATGGTGGGGGGGAGCAGTGTATTAATTTAAGAGAGGAAAGGGACAGTGTATTAACTTGGGGGAGGGAGGGTCCAGTGTTTTAAATTGGGGAGGGGTGGCAGTGTATTAATGGGAGGGGACGGCAGTCTCTTGAATTAGAGCGGAGGGAGGATCGGCAGTGTATTAGATTAAGGGGCAATGTATTAGATTGGGTGAAGTGGGCAGTGTTTAACAGTGGAGGGAGGGGGGGGCAATGTATTGGATTTGTGAGCAGTGTATTAGAATGGGAAGAGGGGCAGTGTGTTAGATTGGGTCTGCATGGAGGCGCATAGAGATGCTGTTTGGCCACGCAGCTTTTTGCCACACATGCAGAATAGCCTCCAGTATTGGATTGGCTGAGATCATCAAGTTTGATGATCTCAGCCAAAGTGAAGAACACACTCACAGAACTTCAAAATAAACAAGATAACGTAATTAGTTTTTTACAGCTGTGCAACAGCATACATTCACCATTTCAGTCCCATTACCAAACATTTCTTAATATGTCATGGTAGTTTATCTGAAACGTTGGTTATATGCAAATGCACATCTCCTTAAAATAAATTCGCTCTTTTTTGTTTACTTTAAAGCCCTACAAGCGTGAGGACGTCCAGTGTCAGTTAGGCAACTTTTTTTTTATACTGTACTTTTAGAAATAAACCTATGTTTCTATGAAAACTGACGTTTTTTGTTTTTTTGCGGCCCACATAAACGTAAACCTTGTTTATCTGGCCCGTCTTAGCCTTTGAGTTTGACATGCTTGGTTTAGTACATAGTCAGGGACCTCATTGCACATATTTCTCCTATATTTAACCGTTATGAGATTTGGGTTGGGATTCAAGACTTATCTCAGGCAGAAAATAATGACAAAAGAGAGAGTTGCCTCTGCTCCGACCTTGTTAAATAATAGACAGCCCATACACTCACTTTGCAAGACAGGGGAAATGGACCTATGCTCCATCAAAGAACATGAAGAGTGACATTGTATCATCAGAGTTGTAGCTTTACAACTGTTAGGATTTACGTTTTGGGCACCTGTCTTTTATAATTCTACAGAATAAGTCTGTTTTATCTCCTACGTGACTCTCCTCCACCAAGTCATTGCATGTACAGGTTATTTTCAGCTCTATACTATAAAAATTTTTAAACAAATGTATATCATCTGACTTCCAATATATAAGTGCTATCTGTTCATATTACATTTGTATTTAAATACCTGGGAGGCGTGATGCTGAAGTTCTCTTCTTTTAAGTTCCCACCCACATCGATCACTTAGAAATTGTAGCAGAAAGTCAGTCCATTTCTTTTCTTCTTTTCTTTGTTCCGTCTGAATTACTTCCAAGACAGTCTTCAGCTCCAGCAAGATCCCTTTGTTTTCACCTGCCTGCAACACGCAAACTCTTATGTGATGGACTATCACAGTACATACAATGAAAGCACACAGAATTTCTAAGATGGAATAAATCTCTCCACACTTTTGGCTAAGCCAAGTTCTTGGCCTTTACATATAAAACATCCACCGCAAGACAAGCCAGTACTTTCAGAACAAATGCCACTGCTATAAGTCAGCATGATGTTTTAAATAAAACTGCATCATAGAGATAATATGTAATCACATGATGCCTGAATATTCTAGCTAGTAGATCTCCTCTTATCCAAGAGTATAATAAAACATTGTTTGTTTTCACACAGCTCTACCATGACATTACACATACAGCCCCTTTACGGGAGGAGTTATGTAATGCAGTGTTATTCCATGTAACCAAACATAGATCTCCATCAATTGTTTGAACCCCTTAAGGTCCTTTCTTAAGGCTTTGTACATGATCACATCTGAAATTCTAGAAATGAAAAGCAAATTCCTCTATAATTTAACCAAAGCTCCTGCACACCATGGCAGCATGTGATACTTAATTCCTATAGGAACAGTTTCATTTCCCCAAAAGGTAGATCCCCGGATGTTGGACTATGACTGCCATGATGACATCTTAGAACTGGCAGCAGATTACTAGAGGCCAGCAAAAACAATTAAAATAATCCTCTCTCTCTAAATAATTAGTTTACCAATGAACTGAACAAACATTCAACAACATTCCATGTTGTCATTGCAATCTACTCAATACATACTCTTTCATGCCAGGGCAAGTCCTAATAACTTTCCCTTTAGCAGCTGTGCAGAGGCCAGCTGATCAATATGTACTACATTCTCTATGCTTCAGTGGTACTCTAGAGGTTAACATCTGAAAGGAGTGGCCCTTTGATTGTGTTGTTTCAGCGTTCAGCTACTCTGCAGCTTCAGAACAATACATAGAATTTAAGCAAAATCCCAAAGATTTGCTGATGTATTCCTTTGAAATGCAAAATCTACAATTGATAATGTTCCTCAGACCTCAATAATAAGAAACATAACTCAATATGGTCTTAGAAAGGATTTGGTGAGAGTTCAGAATGCACATCTGTCAATGATTCATCTGATGATCTTTGGAAAGTAAATCTGCTTCCTGTGCCAATTAAATATACTCAGTCCCTCACACCAAATTAGTTTGCTGTAACTAATATTAACGTAAATTATTAATGGCAACTTCATTTGCATTGTTCTAATGTATTACAATTATTGTCATTTTTACATTACACATTACTGGTTTACTTCTACAATCTTTAGCAACGGCCAAACACACGTACTCTGGTAGACTGTACATAGACATACACGTCTCTTGGGTGGCAGCATTGGCTGTAGAATTTATTAGCCCAATTATATGAACAAAACCAAAACAAAGTTACCTGCACACTATCAGATAGTTAACTGCTAACTTTTTTTTGTATATAGAAATACTGTAAAACCTGATACCTATTGTTTTAAAGTTTACAACAATACATTACTTTAATTTCAGTTTGGGCATATAACCTCAAATCTTTGAACAGAGATAATAACATGTAGACATAATTCATCCATCCATCCATCGTGTGTATTCATTGCTTCTAATGCTGCCAGACTTTTCTCTAGACCCCAAATGCAGCCAGACTGAATTTACTTCTGTTTGTGGCTGTCAAATATTGTTTGGGGTTTTTTTTTGTGGTTTGTGATACTGCCTTACAGTGAGACTGCTGTGACATGTTGAAGAGCAATTAAAAAACATTTTGTAAAATACAAATACTGCAAATGCATTGTGGTGCGCTAAATAGCACTAAATGCATTGAGTAATTAGCTATTAAATAACAACATTTGCAAAAAGGTTGGAAAAAAAAATGTATATTGCTAAAGCCAAGTACTTTGTTCTCTTATTTACCCATTGTATACATAAACAGAAAGAACATGTTTAATATTTTACAATGATACATTAATTTAATTATAGCCTGGAATTCTAAACATATTCACTGATGAACAGGCACATAGATAATAAATATGTTGCTGTAATAAGGGCCTATTTATTGCATTAAAAAACTAATACACTGTGTCTCAGAAACAATCTGAATATCTGCAGCCATTATTTTCTTAGTGACTGACATTTTATGCTTTTAATTTGTCCACATGCCAGCAAAAAGATGTCTTATATGGCAAATAGTTTAGACTTATTTAAAAATTATAAAATTTAATTTAAAAAAAGTGAACTCTTAAAATAATAATTTATTAATACTAAAATTCACTGAATTGAAAACAGGACTGTACAATTTAGGCAAAAATAGCAAGGAAAAAATAGGCTACAATAATGAAAAAAAAATCTACATTATAGCTATAATCACAACTTGCCTATATTTGCGTACATTTTGCAATTCGGTTTTCAGTTCTCTAAAATTTAGTGTTTTGTGAAAAAAACAGAACCTTAATACTTATTTTTTTATTTATGAGATTTTACCATTCCTTCGAAAAAAGTTGCCATAAAATGAAGTGTGTTTTTACTACCACAGATAATAACAATAATAACAAACATGTCAGAAACTCACTTTGTGCCAAAAAAATGCAATTAATCATTTTAACACCAAATATATGCGCAAACACTCAAGTCAGGATGCTTTAGTCCAGCCTATTTTTTCCTTGCTATTTTTGCCTAAATTGTACAGTCCTGTTTTCAATTCAGTGAATTTTTTTACATAGCTCTGTAAGAAATTCACTACACTGGAGTAAATACCTGAGATTGTATTCATGGCTGTTTTGTCCAGTATAGCAGGGCTGGTCCAGTACCGTACTTTAATTTAAGTTTAATTTTATGGTACAAACGATATCCTGCCTGCCAGAGACTGGAGGGAGTCACACTCCCAGGCAGTAGATTATATTTGTTTTTCTGCAGGCAATAGTATGTTGGATAAAGAGCTGGGCAGATAGAATTGCACTATCTCCATATCTATAATCTATCTACTATCCTGGCACATCAGGCAACATTAAAGCTGATCGCAGTAGATTACAGCTGCTGTCTTTGAATGTAACTCCTACTAATCTTGGGCATGCAGGTACATGTATTTCCTGTTACTACACTGGGATTAGAGGCCACTGCATTAAACATTGTCAGTCATATTGTGCATTGTGGATAAAACTGCACGTCTGATGTCACCCACCAAATAGTACTGAATTTGAAAACACAATTTATTATATTTAGTACACACAAGGTTTGCAACCCATTCTATAGTCCAATGGATTAGAATAATTTCTGCATATATCACAAGAATTGTAAACATCACATTATGCATGGTGTTCTTGATATCTATTGGTTCTGCTATGTATATAAACACAGTTGGATGTCACACTTTATCTTTGCACCATTTTCACATGCTACCCAATAATATGACATAAATCCAATAACCCCCTATAGACCCAAAATTCAGCCAATTTACTTTTATCTCAGTGATTTCTTTCAATAGTAGTTCTTTCTCCTTTGCCCATATTTCTCGTTCTTTCTCATGGAACTTCTTCACTTTTTCCAATTTTCTCTTTAAGCGCAAGTGATGCTCGTAAAACCCATATTTGTCATCTCTTTGGGTGTCTCCTTTTGTGGCCTCTGAGCTGGGTGTGATATTATTGGAAGGGCTCCGGCTCCTGTCTCTGTCCCTCACCTTACTGATGGTGTCAGAGAAGTTCCAAGACTCATACCTGCATCTGTGTCCATGGCAATGACAAAATTGTGGCTGGTCCCCATTCCACATACTCTGGCCAAAAATAACAGGTAGAAATTCGAGCTACTCCAGCCCTCTTTCTGTCCCCTTCCTTTTCTCTATGTGGAAATACCCATCAACAGTGCCAGCCATCAGTTCATCATGAGTCATTGGCATCAGTCCTGTGCTTGTGCATGTGATATATCCTATTTCCCTTTCAAGGTCACCAAAACACTGTCATCTACACTAGTTTACATAATTGACAATCTTTGCCCAAACGTCTCTGTCTGTTTACAGATTGAAGCGTTCCAACTACAGTCCACAATCACAGCTTCCTAACTACCACATGCAAGAATGCAGAATAAAAATCTATGTGAGCAGAGCAGTTCCTAAACCCGATATACCACTGACGTCAGGGTAGGGTTGTTATTTTTAACAAGGTAGACTTTACGGCATGTCTTTCTGGATGAATATAAAAATACTCACATGCGCAACCAATAAATTATATTTTTTCCACTGTTGACAACAATCTGTTTTTGTCATATAGTATCTAAGCTCAGTGAGACTTTTAATGACGGGTTATCTCAGTAAAGAACAAAGTAGGAGTTCTATGATAACATGTTGGGGTCATAATAGTTACAGCAGCACTTGTCAATAATAGCTTGCTAATAAATCATAGCCTCAACCACCTCCTGAACAGCTGAACTGTCACTTTGAGATCACAACACAAGCTTCCAACTGCAGAATTACATTTCATCTAGGCTAGCCATTCCAACACATATACACACACAAAAATGTTTTTATTGCACTTACTAAGTATTGAACAGTAAACATCAAAACGTCTATATGATCATACCTTTTGGGGATTCTTGACACTTGTACACTTGCAGTGATGAAAATGTATTTTTCTCAAAGCAGCACCACAGGCAGCTGGATGTAAAAGTTATTGGGAAAGACGGAATCTCTCTGCATTGGCTATTTTACTTAGCAGGCGTGTAACTCTTCCAGCTAAAGCAGGAGAAACCACAATTTAGTTACGATGTGCTGGGGAAAACCGTTAGAGAAAAAAAAATGCAACTTTCAAATGCTATAAACTAATCCAGTTTAGCATGACTGAGGCAAATGAACCCCCAGTGACGTAAGCTTGGGAGTGGATGGTTTTAAAGCCTCTGTATCCAGCCCCCATTCCTGTAACTTTAGATCTGTTGGTATTCTGTGTAAACAACTGCAAATCCAGGACAATTTTAGTCTTTAGTAGTTTAGCTCAGAGTCCCATGAAACTAAAAACAAACCAATGTGGCTTTATATCAAATCTGCATCAGCAGCCAGTTTTACTCCCAAGTTATATAAGACATGCTTTTTTTTTCTTTTTTATGCCTGTGTGGAAAAATTCTGCTAGAAGAAAATGGAAATCTGGCTTCACTGTTAAAGCAATTATGCTAAACTATCTGGAACAAAGGAGATTGGACTTAATAGCCCAATTTTCTAATATTTCAAAAGAGGGTTTATGTAGTCCAAATGAGATCATAGATGTGCTAGGTAAAAGCTGGCAAGGAATTACTAGGAATACATTAAGAAATGTATTCAGGTTATAACTTGTAATTAATACAGCCGTTGTTTCTTTTTTTCTTGACAAAATATTGCTGGCATTTTAGCTATTTTTTTTCATACAAAGCATTCAAAGAAACACTCTAAGCACCATAAATACTAAATACTGTAGTGACTATGGTGCCAGGAGTGCCCTGCCCCTTCTAAGTATTCAGAAAAATAGAATGGTTTGACATATTACTTGGGGTCTGACAAGCACTTCTTCCCTTCTCCACTACTAACTAAGGAGAATAGGTAGCTTCTAAACAGGAGCTTCTGTTAGCTCTACTGATCTAATCCATGCAATACTATCTTAGCAGTAAACACTGCACTTAGCTTAGACAGAGAGCTTCCAACTCTCAGGTTGGAGTAGTGAAGGCAGGTGACTGGCAGACCACAGGTACAAAGTCAAACCTTTCTAGCTCACTGTAGTGGTTATGGTCCTTGAATTGCTCATTTTAACAACTGTTCTACTCCTTCACTACTGAGTTCTAACTATTTTTAAAAAGCATAACATTTATTTAAAGTGTAGGATGCATAGCTAGTAATATTAATCTAAAACTGAAACTATCTGGATTGCGATGGTTGCTACTGATGCAGGGCCTTACAGTTCCACCTGTTATGGGAGGTTGGTGGGGGTATTTGCCTAGCAGGGGCCTATCCTAGAAAAAACACAATTTGCTATAATACCAATTAAATAACAAATAACCGCAACTGGATTAACAAATTACCGCAACTGGATTAACAAATTACCGCAACTGGATTACCATGGCAGCACTCGACTCATTCACTAAGTGCTGGAGTGTAAGAGTGTTTATGTGGTCTACACCCCTTTGAGGTGAAAACCACAGGCAACACTTCCCAACTCTGAAATCCAAAGAATCGGAATACCAGTGGGTAAAGCGATCACGCCACTATCTCTGTTCAAAGGAGGGTGGACCCTACTAGGAAGATGGTGGTTCCCTTATGATTAACTGACAGGTCAGCCTGCATTAATACACGCCACAGGCTGCCTGTCAATTCCATAGGGAGTGGCCACTGAGGGCAACCCCGCAAGAGCACAGTTATCTAATTGTGCCCTTGCGTTATGTTTTTTGGAGACAATTCCCTGGTGTCCCCATAAGAGGGACAGCATCTCTGGTGCAGGCAGACACGAGAGGACCTGAAAATCGGGGCTGCGTCGCCAAAGTCGGAACAGTACAGGAGCCTTCACACACTCCCCCACTTGACCACCAGAGATACTGCCAGCAGGGATCATACCCCCACTGGACCAACAGAGATTTAGTCCCTTTCCTGCAAAGAGGGGGTCAAAACACAATCTTTTTTTTTTTTTTTTTTAAACACAACCCCCACACACAAACACACTCAGTCAACTCTATACCCAATCATACCAAGCCAACTCCACACACAAACACACTCAGCTGACTGCACATAGTCACACTCAGCCACTCCACGCTCATTCACACTAAGCCTGAACTCACAAACAATCACAGTCTACCAGCCCCACACATACATACACATATTTAACTAACCACTACAATCACACTCAGCCTCCATGTTACTTGGGGGGGAAGAGAGGGGTGACAAAAGTGATAGTTTATTATTTTTGCATAAGGGACCCAAGTGGATCCAAGTGATATCTGTAAAAATTGAATCTAATTGCATTTGTAAGAAAGGGGACTCTTATAACATAAAAACAATGTATATGTTTTTGGTGTAATGCCCGCATACACTGGTACAGTAACTTCCTGTAATATGTAATATGCTAACACCATGCATCTGTATAATGCAGGGCAAAGAGAGATACAGCGCAACAATGACTTTATAGTCTTTCAATTGGCTTCAGACTTATGTATCAGGCAGTCACTGGACTAAATATACCATAAGAGGGAAAGTTGGCCCCATCCTCCCTATTCCAGTTAATGTATTGAGAGTTTAAGAATGTTTCTGTTGCAATGTAAGGTAATGTATTGTAAGTGCCCAATTTGCCTTACTGTACTGCCAGCCCTGTTTAAACCTCTTAATTTTTCTGCAAAATCTGAGAATTTTTTTTTAAAAGCTTAATAAATTACATGCTTTTCACTTGTTTAGGAATCTTAGCTAATTTCTTGTAATTAACAGCATTTTCCCCATACAAATCAATGGTAGAACTGCTATTCAATTGCCAGAGATTAGCATATCCAAAAGTATTCGACCCTAAATAGGAAAATTAGAAAATGCTGTCTTGTCATAATTTTAAATACTAACTGTCTAATATTTAGCTTTTACATATATATAGTTCATGCAAATAACTTGGCATTGAAGGAGTTAAATAAAGGTGTAACAGCCCCTTTAAATAATATATGTATTAAATTGAACTTCAATTAACCACTAACGACATTTAAAGTAAATGTATCTTGTTTTTACTAAGACTAAAACCTCTCTGACATAACATTAACCCTGCCTGTTTTTTCTATCCCGCAGTGGTTAAATCATGTATACATGACTCATATCCACACCCAGCCCTGGCAGAGAACCAAGAAGGCATGCTAGAGTACAGACCTCCCATGTAGTCAGTTATGGAATAGTTTTGTACTTATCGCATTCACTTCTGCAAAAAACAATAGATTACAAGCAGGGTGATCTTTTCTACATGGCAAAAGGGGCATCTAGAGCTATGTTGTCCATTAAATTATGTGAATTTGTTAGGTCTGCAAGAAAATGATGTTGCTATGCCCCAAAATTAAGCACGTGTTGCTGACAGAACAGTCACAGTTGAAAATGTATTTATTTTACACTGTCACATAACTGTGTGAATTCATGTTGTAATGCAGTTTTTTCAATGTACATCAGATTTTTTTCTTAAAAGGATGTCTGTTTTAGTGCACAGACAAGATGAAGACATATGGACATTGTTAGACAATTCTGGCTTTTATACTTTTTGAATTTTTTTTTTTAAAGGTTACGGAAGACACCTCTCATGTTGACATATTTCCAGGAACGGAGGGGAGGAAGTGATTTTAACATACATCCCGCCATTCCAAATGGATAAAGAGGGACATATTTATTTCAGGGGTGTGAGTGGTGTGGCCAAGGGTAGGGCTGTCCTGAGAAATGTTATGTGACTTATTAATAACTGTTTGTGCAACCATAATGTAATAAGCAGCAAGAACAATGTATCTAGACCAGGGCTTTCCAAACTTTTATGGGCCGAGACCCACTTTTCAAAACTGTAATTCTTTTGAGACCCGCTTGCTTTAAATGCATATTTTAAAACACCATGAACACCATGGCAATCAGCTTTAGAGGCATACAATTGGCACACCATAGCAATCCGCTTTAGATGCACACAGCTGGCACACCTTGACCATTACTTTTAGAGGCATACAATTGGCATACCATGGCAATCAGTTTTAGAGGCATACAATTGGCACACCATGGCAATCAGCTTTACAGGCATACTTTTGGAACATTATGACAGCTTTAGATGCATAAAATTGGCACACTATAGCAATCCGCTGTAGATGCATACAATTGGCACACCGTGGCAATCAGTTTTGGAGGAATAAAATTGGCACACCATGGCAATCCGCTTTAGATGCATAAAATTGGTACATCATGGCAATCCGTTTTAGATGTATAAACTTGGCACATAATGGGAACGTTAGGTGCATAAAATTGGCACACCATGGCAACAAGCTTTAGAGGCACAAAATTGGCATACCATGGCAATCGGTTTTAGAGGCTTACACTTGGCACACCATGGCAACCAGCTTCAGAGGCATAAAATCAGAACATCATGGCAATCAGTTTTAGAGGCATAAAATTGGAACATCATGGCAATCACTTTTAGATGCATATACTTGGTACATCATGGCAATCAGCTTCAGAGGTATACAACTGGCACACCATGGCAAACAGTCAGATGCATAAATTTGGCACACCATGGCAATCAGCTTTAGATGCATAAACTTGGCATATCATGGCAATCACTTTTAGATGCATATACTTGGTACATCATGGCAATCAGCTTCAGAGGTATACAACTGGCACACCATGGCAAACAGTCAGATGCATAAATTTGGCACACCATGGCAATCAGCTTTAGATGCATAAACTTGGCATATCATGGCAATCACTTTTAGATGCATATACTTGGTACATCATGGCAATCAGCTTCAGAGGTATACAACTGGCACACCATGGCAAACAGTCAGATGCATAAAATTGACACACCATGGCAAACAGTCAGATGCATAAAATTGGCACTCTGTGGCAATCAGTTTTAAAAGCATAAAATTGGCACTCCATGGCAATCAGCTTTTAGATGCATATAATTGGCACACCTTGGCAATCAGCTTTAGATGCATAAAAATTACATACAATTAGTGTGGGGAGGGTGGCAGGGAGAGAAGGGGTTACAGTGTGGGGAGAGGGGCAGGGAGTGAAGGGGTTACATTCTATGTAGGGGGGCAGAGAGAGAAGGGGTTACAGTGGGGGAGGGGCAGGAGTGAAGGAGTTACACGGGCAGGGAGTAAAGGGGTTATATTGAGGGGGCAGGAAGAGTAGGGGGCAGGGAGTTACAGTGGTGGAGAGGGGGCAGGGAGGGAAGGAGTTACAGGGGGGCAGGGAGTGAAGGGGTTACATGGGGGGGCAGGGTCTGGGGGCTGTGTCCTACCTGTAATAAATTCCCTGGTGGTCCAGTGTCCCTGGTGGTCCAGTGGGTTAACGCTCCGGTCTGCAGCTCCGCTGGCTGCAGACAGTGTAATAAAAGTCTCGTGAGCTCCCAGTGTTGCCATGGTAACGCTCTGAGAGCTCGCGAGGCTTTAATCACACGGTCTGCAGCTCTGCACCCGGCGGAGCTGCAGACCGGAGGTGCTGGGCAGACTGATTGGAGGGAGCCCAAAGGCATACAGGGCAAGCCGCCGGGCCCCCTCCTGATCAGTCTGACTCCTGAGTCTCCGGCAGCCCTGCATGTGTGGGTCAGCGCGACCCACCAGTGCGTCGCGACCCATACTTTGGGAACCGCTGATCCAGACTGTTTACTAAACACAGTTATTGCAGTTTAAAGACACATTACTGTAAGTATTATTGCTGTGGAGCTCGGCTACACACTTAGACACACTAATAATATGGAGCTCCTACAAAAGATGGACAGAAGGACAGTGGGATTTGGGCCCAAAATAGGGACTGTCTCTCCTAAAACAGGGACACATGAGCTTTCAATGCTTTCCCCTGGGGGCTTCAGTGTCACGTGACCGATTTTTACCCAGTCAGTGCTGCGGAAGCGCCTTTAGTGAAGACAGCCATTAGAGGTGGATTTAACTCTGCAATGTAAACAGTGCAGTTTCTATGAAATTGAAATGTGTTACACTGCAGGGATAAAAGGACTAGATCGCTGACTTCAATGGTTCTTTACGGCTAGATGCCCATCATCGTGGATGGACTGAAACAAAAAATGTGCTCTGTATTTCAAAGAACAACATCCCAATTTCACAATTCAGAATCTGCAAAACCAACATTGATGACTACATCCACCCCCTGTTATTTCACAGGTGCAATCTCCATGGGATGGGGCCTTTTTAGAGACTTGGAAGCAATCAACTGAATTGAGCTTCCATCTACTTGTCTATATAAACCAGACTTTGGAAGCCTGGAATACCATAAGGCAGCTTCCAGTTTCTTAAGGGTTAAAAGTGACTTCCACCTTCATGGTGGCTGTCCTTCACTTGATTTTGCAGCCCTGAACTTAGAGACTTGTAACTTCATAACGTCACACATTACTGACCCCTGCTGGAGTTAGAAGAGAACATGCAAGTAGGCTTGCTTTATTAAAAAATTGCAAATCAAAATTTACTAAAGAACCCATTCTGCGCAGTCCTTTTCTTTTCAAACAGGTAGGGTAGCTGAGCTATAACAGAGGCAGCTGGGTGGCATCTATCTGTCAAAGAGAATTAGAGGTAGCTACAGAGAATGAGCTGTGATAAGAGGGAGATGGCAAGGTGGAATGACACTGAATGAGGGAGCAAATAGATGTAGGGAGTAAATAAGACAAAAACTTTTTATTTGTTGTAATTTTGAGATTAACAAAGATCAAAGTGGTATACAGAAATTGGTCGACAGACATATAAAGTGGTTTACAGATACTAGGGGGGTGAGATTGTGAGATGCATCGACTGAGATGAGAAGTAGTAAAGAGATACTTGAGAGGTTTAATACCTTTTAGAAATTGTGGTGTTTGTGTGACTTTTTTTGTTTTGTGTGACTAGGTTTTTGGTCATGTAGCATTCAAATATGAATGGAATAAATGACAGAATTTCTGAATGGAAAATTTCGTTTGAAAATTTGAATGGAAAATTTCGTTCTGCACCATTCAGTCATTTAATTTATTGGTTGGCCTACAAGCCAACCAATCAGGGGGTCTGACTAATATTGCATAACGTAGGAAAGCTCTTATAAGGGCTCTTTCTTTTATATAAGCTCAGTATGCACTTAGCCCTTGCAAGGAGAAGTTTGTCTAATTTTGTTGTGTCTGGTTTTTTTTTTGAGGGGGGGGAAGTTGCAATTTGGTACCTGTTAAAAAAAATTTCAGCTGGGATGTCATTTTGGAATTAAGTTTGACCTCGTTTGGAGGTCTAAAGAACAGAATAATTAGAAGAAGGACTTCAGATGGTAATCATGTTTTTTTTTTTTTTAAATGTTATAGGTATTAGTTCAATGGCCCCCATAACTAATTTTATGGTTAGTGGTGTAGGTAGATTTAAAATAATGTAATGGGTGGTGGCTAGGAGCTTGGGAAGGTGTAATGGGGAGAGGTGATCCATGTCACTTATTGTTGGGTTGGGGAATGGCACGTTCGACCACTCGCCCCTCCTTGTTTAATTATTTTTAAAAGCCTCCACCTGCCATACCATGGATGGGAGCTGTGGGACACCCTTTCTTATCAATATTAAAGTCTCACCTACAACTCATGGGTGAGGGCGAGAGGGATTAAAAATGGAAATCCCTGGAAAAATACTGTAAAAAGAAACACATTTTTTTCCAAGCCACTTTTTGCCAGAAAGTTAGAAAAAAATAAATAAATGGAGTACAGAAAAGTTTTTTTTACATTATGTTCATATAGTTAAATCTCCAATATTGGTTCTAAAAAAACTATATCACACGAAGACTTATGAGACTTTATATAAAGTCTATAATCATTGCAATTCCTGTACCCTAAAGACAAGCAGATCCTGGAATACAATTCAAATACTAACAGGGTTATTTATTAAAGTGAAAATTCAAAGTAAATTTCAAGTTCAATGTGAAAACATTCTCAAAGTCCTGTTTGGCTATTCTGACCTTGAATTTGAAATACCTTTTGAATTCACAATTGAGTAAACAACCTTGTAGGAAAATACTGAGGATGCAATTCTCAGATACAATGAGATATATGCATTTCTGTCTCTAGGGGAAAGAGGTTTCAGTTTACTTTGCTTGTGGGCTTACTCTTTTCGCTATAGTTGATTGAGCTGTTCCTATTCTATAAATATGAATTTCAGGTACCCCTCTGGTGGTACCTGAAAGAGCGTACTGGTGATCGTTGTTTAATGCAGGAGATCTTCTGTCCATGTGGGCGACGCACCAAGGCTTCATTTTAAGTAGCCCTCTGCTCAGGTAAGCCTTTAGCAGGGTAACGTGCCGCCCTGTAGGTTTTTGTACCTTGAGTTGACCACTTCCTCTTCGGTAGCCCCACTCTCTCGTCTCCCTTCTGTATCCCAGGCTGGGTGGTCCAGACTCGGCCTCCAACTTGGCCCAGAAGTTTTGGAAATGCTCGTTGAGCCGTTGTAGGAAGCGGTCCATAGAGTCACATGAGTCTCTGTGGACCGGATCTGGGCCATGGGAATCAGCGAGGGAGGCATCCGCCATCTTGTAAAGTTGGAGCTTGACCATTTTGCGTCTCTTAAAGCTCGGTAGGTGCCACTAGGATGATATGTGAGTATCCAGTGGGGACCAGGATATTCCCCACCAGTCCAGAAGGGGAAGTGGGGGTTTGGAGTCTAGCTGGTCCCTTCTACGAACCGGAGAGCGGGGAGATCGGCCGCCTCTCTCCCTTTCCGTCCCCAGTAGGCTGCAACGGAACGGTAAAGGCTCCCGGCGGTGTACAGTGTCAGGTGAGGTATCAGGAAGCTTGACTGTAAACCCCTGACTTAGGCAGTGCACTTATTGAGGCTTTTTAGCTTGGTGGCTGGGGTTAGCACCCCAAAATCGGCCCAAATTGCAGGAGCTCGTGCACTGCCCGTCTAAACTGCTCAAAGGTTAGGCTCCGCCCCCTGGAGTGTCTCTTTAATGGAATTGAGTGCTCCTTCTCTCTTATCTCTGATTGGTACAAAGAATCAGTAGGAGACAAGATAATCTTCTTAGGTTTTGTTATGTTAATGGCTTCCATGATTTTTCATTGTTTGGTAGGGAGTATATTGTGCAACAACAGAAGGAGTCCCTTCTAGTTCACTTGTTTTTAACATATTTGGAACTTGTAGTTCCATTTGTAACAATTTATAGCAACTTATTCTGCAATGCTGTACAATAGAAAAAAAAAAAGACAAACAATTCTAACAAAACATGTTTAAGATACTGGAACAGTAGGTCAAGAGGGCTCTGCCTAAACAAGCTAAACACAAAAATAGTTCTAAAAAATCTAATTTAGTTGATTATTTACTGAATTAGCTGTAATTTTATTTAAAGCTTAATACATGTAGCATAATGACTTTTAATCCATAAGAGTAGTTTGGGAGGTGGGTGCTTAAATTAAGTCTACAACCTCCATTATACTAACATGACCCCCATGGGCTATTTCTTTTTTAAATTAATGTGCTGGCATGAGTGGAAGGCTTCCCTAAACAAGAATGTCTTTAGCAAGTGCTTAAAGAAAAGAAAACTAGGGGAAAATCTGACAGCATGGGGAAGTACATTCCAGAGGGTTGGTGACACGTGAGAGAAGTCTTACAGTCTAGCATGGAAAGAGTTGATAAAGCCATTTAGTAGGTTTTTGCAGTAGTCTAGATGAGAAATAACAAGGGGATGAATAAGTATATTGTGTAGGTGGTTAGGGCAGCTATAAGTATATGAAATATTGTGTAGGTGGTTGTCGCAGGATTAAGAAAGTGATTGGATGTGTGGGACGAAGGACAGATTGGAGTCAAGTTAAACTACAAGGAAGCAGACTTGGAGTGATGTGGAGATAGTAATGTCATCAACAATGAAGGGAAGTCCGAAATTGTAGTAGAGCTACAGGGGGTAATAAGAAGGAACTCAATCTTAGACATATTTATCTTTAGGTGATTAGAGGCCATCTACGAAGAAATGCCAGATAAGTAATTGCAGACTCAAGAAAGGACAGAAGGTGAGAGATCAGAGGTGGTGAGGTAGATCTGAGTGTCGTCAAAGGTGATATCTGAAGCTCTGACCCAAGACAGAGCCTTTAGGTACTCTGACAGGGGCATTGAAGAGGAGTAGTGAACAACAAATGACACAGAAAAGGACAGGTTAGAAAGTTTAGAGTGAATCGAAGAGAGAACAATGCCACAGAGACCAAGAAAGCTGCAAGTATGTAGAAGGATGTTAATTCCCATAACTTAAATTGAAATCTGAATGGCAAAATTTAGGCTAAAATAGCCAAGTTTCAAAAAAAGGTTCTAAATAAGTCATTTTTGGCTAAATTTTGCCAGGATGGGACTATTTTTTGTTAAAGCCCAGGCCCTATTGAGTGGTATCTAAAAATCCTGAAGTAGAGACAAAACTGATTTACTTTGTTTCTTTGCATTCTATGCTCCTGTCAGCTTTGTCGTTATTGAACACTCTATAGCTACATGCTGGAACTTCAGTGGTCAGACCACTCTCATTTAGTGTCTGGCACCAATATAGCACTATCTAACTTACACATCCTTACTGGCAGGTCATGTGGCAGCAGCTTGGTAGTGGAAATGGAAACACTGGCTTGATTGAAGCATGTATTTATATTATTACAATTGCATGATGCTAGTAACCTACCATAGGGTTGTTGACTCATGGCTAATGAACTGTATTTAAGTTTAACCAACTATCCAGGAAGCTATCTGCTATCTGTTCTCACTTAAAAGCTAAATCATTGGAACTCAAGGGTGGGATTTTAGGGGCTTACTTGAATATATATTGGGGGGCTGAAGCCACAGTTATTTTAATAACATAGCAACGCCCCTGCACACAATCAAGTAGTTGAAAACCCCAGAAAGGAGATTGGACATCTAAAACAGGTGTGGCTCCCCTTGTGGAAGAGCTTGAGAAAAAGCTCGAACATCAATACCTACAATTAGATTAAAGCTTGTTTCACCTGGGGTCCAGATCCCACATAGGATTGTTGGGAGGTTTGACTACTCTCCATTTGCAAGGCTTTATATTTTTAACCGCCACCTTGTAGCTAAGTATCGTATTTTTACATGTATAAGACTATGTTTTTTTCTAAATCTTTTTCGGCTAAAATGGGGGGTCGTCTTATACACGGAATGTCACTGCAGGGGTTAAAAAAAAACACTTGTACGCGGGGCCTCAGTTAAGATGGCGGCTGCCGCATTTCAGTGTGCCATGGTCCACACACATACCTGGACTCCCTCCCGCCGATCCACTTCTGGATGCTGTGGCAAGGAGAAAGAGGTCCCTATATGCGTGGGAGTGACAGCAGACATCAGCACTTACCACCAACATAGCTCCAGAGATATGCCACACCATCAAAGGAGCAGCCATAGTAAGGGTTGCTCCACCTCAGGTAAGTCTTGCTTTCTGATTTATATTTACGGGGGAGCAAATAGGCATCAGGGAGCAGAAGGAATACTACTGTAATGTCCCAGCATGCCCTCACACCACCTGTTGTATTGTGGGAGCTGTAGTCTCCCAGCATGCACTATAGAGCCATTAACTTCACAGAGTACCGTAGCACAGGGGAGGCATGGAAATCAGAAGTGTGTTGTTCTCCTCAGAAGTCACCTCTATATTATCAAAGTGGTTCTATTTGAGGTTAAAAATATTGATTTCTTAATTTTAGGCTCAAAAAATAGAGGTCATCTTATACACAGAAAAATACAGTAATATCATGAATTCTCATATCCCGATGTGATAAAACCAATTGGTGACAAAGTCATTGGCCCCAATGAACCTTCCACGAGCACCAGTACAAAATAATAAAACTTTTAAAAAAAGACAACCTTGACCATGGCAGCCTATTTTTTTTCTTTCTTTGAAATTTGAAGGTGCTTCTGGTTACATAACAAAGCCTCATTCCTCTGCAAATGAAGTGAGAAAAGAGAACAGACCACTGCCCCAAAGCAACACTATCAGCACCAAAACAACTTCACTTAATGGAGTGGATTTTGTATATAAATCGCTCCCCTGCAGTCTCATATATCAATTCTTTGCCATTTAGTAGTTAATTCACTCTGTTTATGCAACCACAGTCACACCTCTCCTGCATGTGACCCATGCAGTCTCCCTACACATTTCCTGTAAAAAGAGATCTAATGTTTAAACTTCCTTTATTGCACCGTGTGTTTAATTTATAATTATTATTATGCTTTAATTTACTATTATTATTATGCTCAGTTAATAGCCTGCTAGAGCCTGTAGGATATTTATATGTGTAATTAAAGTTCAATTAACAGAGCAGGAGAGAAAAACTTATAAAGTAAACACATTGTACTGTTTGAAAATGAAACCATTTTTTCATGCGGGCTGTGTGAGTCACAGGTATGGGAGGTGTGGCTAGGCCTGTATAAACAGAAATAAAAGTGATTTAACTCCTAAATTGAGCAGTGAGATTGCATTTGCATGAACTATACACAAAAACTGCTTCATTAAGCTAAAGTTGTTTTGTTGCTTAAAGTGCCCCTTTAATTGGGAGTCTTAAAACAAAGCATACAAAAACAGAAAATAAGGCTGCGCCAAGAGAAATAAAAATAAGTCCAATTAGTAAAAATATTCAAATAAGAGAGTCCCAATGGTAGGTGGTGTATCAATTGGTATGGTGTCTTCCTTAGTAGTGGTCGTCCGTCTCACGATATGAAAGACACAATGGGAGAGAGCCAATTGTGCAGAGTGTATAAATAAGTGATATATGAATAAAATATAAATTACACACTCACATTGCCATGAGCTAGGACCAGCTCAGGTATGATGGGCATACGGCGGATAACCCTCCGCTTGTAGGGGTACTTTTCCTCCTGGAGCGTCCTGGTGTCCAAATTCTCAGGGAAAGAAAATAAAAACAGCCAATAGTGCTCTCAATAGTGGAATTCCAATTTGATAAAGCCTTCATGGTGAAACGCGTTATTGGTTTTAAATATATTGTACTAATAAATAATTTTATAATTAATAATATTTTTAACCTCATTTATTGTTCCTGGCATATCCTAAGGTGGGGATTATACCACCCACGCGAATATCAGAGTGCAGATTGACCTGCACTCTACTTGTGAGTATATTTTATTTATTTTTTATCCTGTTTATAAACCATCTTATCAGAGAGCACTATTGGCTGTTTTTATTTTCTTTCCCTGAGAATTTGGACACCAGGACGCTCCAGGAGGAAAAGTACCCCTACAAGCGGAGGGTTATCCGCCGTATGCCCATCATACCTGAGCTGGTCCTAGCTCATGGCAATGTGAGTGTGTAATTTATATTTTATTCACATATCACTTATTTATACACTCTGCACAATTGGCTCTCTCCCATTGTGTCTTTCATATCGTGAGACGGACGACCACTACTAAGGAAGACACCATACCAATTGATACACCACCTACCATTGGGACTCTCTTATTTGAATATTTTTACTAATTGGACTTATTTTTATTTCTCTTGGCGCAGCCTTATTTTCTGTTTTTGTATATATTCCTATTGTAGAGGGTGACCCTCTATAAGGCCGCTGCCTTTATTTTCATTTTTTATATAGTTATTATTAGCGCTAACCTTTTCTTTCCTTTTTGCTTAAAACAAAGCATGTCTGGTAAGAAACTCAGTGTTGCTTGCAGGTCACTTAATAAAGGTTAAAATTGCCTGACATAAAATGATGTCAGCAAAAAGAGCACATCATTTTGAAAAGCAACAGGTGGTTGCAAAATTATGAGCACTGGCTAATGTCCAAGTCACAATTGTTTATGTGGCTAGTTAAATAGATTCAGCATTGATAAATTGGAAACAACATTGTCAGTTGACTTCGGTCAACTACTCAACAAGCTAGATTTATGTGAACTGTATATCAATGGTCAATGTATATGATCCCTTGTGGAATTAGATCCATTCTTCAGCAATAATTGCTGGAATCTAAGCAATGAAATATTTAACTGGTAAAAACACTGTGATGTCTTCTCTAGAGAAAACAAAACCATGATGATTTATATTACAGCATGCTACATTTCATGGCTCTGTAGGAATTGAAAAATCTTTCCTATAATAAATTAGATGGACTGCAGAAACTCTACTATTTGAATTTTTTGTTAGATAAAAAAACAGTCATATGAAAACTGCTTTTATATCCATTTTCATTGTGGTTGCGAAGTCTTGTGAAACCACTGTCAGAGCAAGACAGTATTATATGGCAATTCAACTTGTTCTTCTACTTCACACATGAGGGACCAAGCCTTCCTGTCAGGACCCTACCATTAGCAAGGTGAAGTGGGCTTACACAATGATTTTGAGAAGCCAATAAAAGAAATCAAGTCACTCTGCTCAATGTCCTAGGCATGTCCAACATCTTTGGAAGACTAGAGAACAAACATGGCAATTTGATAAGAGACCCAGGACTAATTCGGCAAGAAAAATAATAATTCTATGTAGTATAAAAATAAATGCTACAGCATTATTCCCCGGTAAAAGAGAATCTAACTGAGGTGTGTATTGTTTAGCCTGTGAGCTTGGTAAGAGGCTGTATGTTTACAACTAAAATGTAAAATATGACTATGTATCCAAACTGGAAAAGTATTTTGACATACACGTTTCAAAATTATTTCATCACATATGAACTTACCACAATGCCGTATTAATTGAATAAGCTGCTGGGTATCTTTCAATAAATAAGGTGTTGTGTAAAGTTGATTACCTGCCCAATACTTGTCATGATTAGCATTTAAAATTACCAAATTCAGATTTTTAGTTATGCTATAATAAGTTTGTGTGTATGCCCTGACTGTAAACTTAGTTTGAGGTCTAATTTACAGCTCTCAAGTAACCTGTTTTTCTGAACATGAACTAGTATATTCTTTCTATGCTAAAGCTGCTCTCCACATTGTTCAAAAGAAGCTGTTGCCCTAGGAGTGGTCCTAGGAGTGTTCTGACAATTGCACACTAGTCAAGCATGTTGGCATGAGATCATGTGCAAACTCAGATCAATTGAGGAGCGCATACAGGAGCGCATTCACTGACCAGCCACAAAATGTAAAACACCTGACAAATATCGTGCAGGTTTCCCTCGTGCTGCTAAAACAGCTCTGATTCATTGAGGCATGGACTCCACAAGACCTCTAAGCGTTTCCTATGGTATCTGGCACCAAGACATTAGCAGCAGACTCTTTAAGTCCTACAAGTTGCGAAGTGGGCCTCCATCAATCAGATCTGTTGTTCCAGCCCACCCACAGATATTTAATTGGACTGAGATATTGGGAATTTGAAAGCCAACACCTTTCTGTCATGTTTCTCAAACCATTCCTGAACAACTCTGCTGTGTGGTAGAGTGCATAACTGCTATAGAGGGGTGTACTTGGTCTGCAACAATCTCTAGGTAGGTGGTACTTGGAAACTACCATCAACATGAATGCCAAGACCTAAGGCTTCCCAGCAGAACATTGCCCAGAACATAACCCCGCCTCAGATGGCCTGCATTCTTCCAATGGTGCATCTTGTAGCCATCTCTTCCCCAGGTAAATGATGCACATGTGCCCGACTGTCCACCTGATCTATAAGAAAACATGATCAGACCAGGCAACCTTCATTCATTGTTCCATGGTCCAGTGCTGATGCTCACGACCCCATTGAAGAAGCTTTTGGCGGTAGACAGGGGTCATCATGGGCACCGTAACTGGTCTGTGGCTACGCATCCCCGTAAGCAGCAAACTGCGATGCACTGTGTGCTCTGACGCCTTTCTATCATGGCCAGCATTAAGTTGTTCAACAATTTGAGCTACAGTAGCTCTTCTGCGTGATTAGGCCAGTTGTGCTAGCCTTAGCTCTCCTGTGTGCATCAATGAGTCATGGCACCCATGAACCTGAGGCAGCTTCACTGGTTGTCATTTCTTGCACCACTTTTGTTAGGTACTGACCACTGCATACAGGGAGCACCCCACAAGACTTACCATTTTGGATATGCTCTAACCCAGTTGTCTAGCCATCACTATTTGGCCCTTAACAAAGTGACTCAGATCTTTGCGCTTGCCTGCTTCCAATACATGAAATTCAAGAACTGACTGTTCATTTGCTGCATGATACATCCCCTTGATAGGTACCATTTTAACAATATAATGAATATTATTCACTTTACCTGTCAGTGGTTTTAATGTTGTGGCAGATTAGTGTTATATGCATGAAGCTGGTTTTCGTACACTTCAGTGATGTGGGAAATAAGATGCTAAAAACAACACCGTAATTTTTAGAGCAGCACTTTAAACAACAAAATCACTACAGTTCAGTTTAGTATTTATTTTGACACAAGTGTCTGTGAACGATCCCCTGTATTTCTGTCAAACTGTTTAGGAACTAAAAAATAGAATATATGCAAATAGCGTAGTATATCTATACAATATATAGCATATAAAAAATGAGAATAAAAACACTCACAAGGATAGAGTCATACCGTCATATGACTCTAAAAGTATGTTCTCTTGGACCATTAGGGGGTTGTCCAAACCCTTCTTTTGTTGATTGCTTGTTATCTCTCCTGATGGTCTTCAATAAAGATGCCCAGTATACCAGGGATCTTTGAAAAATAATTCTTGTTTATTTGTAAATAAAATAACAAAATGGCAATATACTAAACCAATAAATATTGGGTGTAGATATAGTCCAATAAAAAGTCTATAAAAGTTGAAAATGAGTTTTGGACTTGGACTATATATTACAAATAAACAAGAATTATTTTTCAAAGATCCCTGGTATACTGGGCATCTTTATTGAAGACCATCAGGAGAAATAACAAGCAATCAACAAAAGAAGGGTTTGGACAACCCCCTAATGGTCCAAGAGAACATACTTTTAGAGTCATATGACGGTATGACTCTATCCTTGTGAGTGTTTTTATTCTCATTTTTTATATGCTATATATTGTATAGATATACTACGCTATTTGCATATATTCTATTTTTCAGATTGTTCAAGACACTCCACAGCTCCACCTATAACTCTGTATGTATTGTATTATGTTTTTAGTGGTGTAAGGGATACCACTTTTTTAGGTGTTTTAGAGCTACGTATTTGTCTTTCACAGCGTGTATATTATTGTTTTGTATTACTGTTTAGGAACTAACTCACCCATAGTTCATATTACCAGCATCCAGGTCTGACAAAACTGATAATGCAGAAGACTAAATCCCACATTATCAGTGTGGCCAATAGAGGTTGTGTTTGGGTGCTGAGGAGAGCCGTGATGTTTGTCAAACTGCTCTCAAAAATGTTTCTGACAGTTTCTCCTAACTATTTATCATCCCTTATGCATCTGTTTCTTATCCAAATATTTATTTTGGCAAATACAGCAGTTATAGAAGAAAATAATTTACTTACTTGTAAAAGTTGTGAGATGATTGTAATGCTAGTTTGTACAAATTAGTCTTCAGTGTTGGTTCAGTAGCACAGGCAGAAACAATATTTCTTATACTTCTTATTTTGATGAGTGGACAAAATAAAACATAACTGAAAGAAACACTACATGGAACAAAAAAAATAGTGAAAAGGGTTTACAGGACAAAAAATAGGGTGAAAAGGAAGACGAGCTTAAATATAGTTGTGTAGGAAAGAGAGGAAAATAATACTAGGATGAGGATTAGTAAAATGATAGGCTGGAACATCTGGGGAGGTAAATACAGAGACAGAAACATTTAATCACTAACTGTGCTTTCTTAAACCATTTTACATATACAGTAAGCAAGAGAACAGCAGAAAATATGAACTGCTTGGCCCAGAAATACAAAAACAGAAATCCAATGTTTTATTTATAGCATACAAGCATGAACTAAAATATACATACAGAATGATTATTTGAAAGTCTTTGGTGCTTTTTTATTAAACTGAAATTGTCAATTTAAGTGGAAGTCAAAGCTCAATTCTCCCTAGTACACTCTAGGCACCCAGACCACTTCAGCTTAATGAAGTGGTCTGGGTTCCAGGTCCCTCTAGGATTAACCCTCTTTTTTAATAAACATAGCAGTTTCAGAGAAACTGCTATGTTTATAAATGGGTTAATTCAGCCTCTAAAGCCGCTAGTGGCTGTCTCATTGACAACCGCTAGAGGCGTTTGCGTGCTTCTCACTGTGAAAATCACAGTGAGAAGACGCCAGCGTCCATAGAAAAGCATTATGAATGCTTTCCTATGAGACTGGCTGAATGCACGCGCAGCTCCTGCTGCGCATGCGCATTCAGCCGAAGAGGAGGAGGAGAGGAGGAGGAGAGGAGGAGGAGAGCTCCCCGCCCGCCGCTGGAAAAAAAAGAGGTAAGATTTAACCCTATCCTCGCCATCCAGCCCGTCGGGTATGTTTTCCTGGCACTATAGTGGTCCTTTAACATGTTAACTGGGGTGAATACTGGACTGCAGAGGTTAAGTAAAAAACATACTTAACTCTGCAGCACTTCCAAATTCAGGGTTACTGTCTCTTATGATGCTCCAGGTCTGTTAATGCATCTGCATATAAATTCTGTATGACTATATCTGCACTCAGGCAATTCTTGCACACAGCACTGCAAGTCAATGTTATTTAAATGCCCGGCATGCCATTTAAATGTGTGTGTATATATATATATATATATATATATATAAATGAAAACTACTAAGAATTGTATGTAAGAAAATTTTAACCCATAGTTAATGTTATAGAAATCTACTGGCCTTTACAAAATATCATTCATTCACATTTGGATAAGTAAAGCATGTACATTTAGCTGTGTGAAACTTCTTGTTATTAAAGGAAAATCTATAGTGTTAGAAATGCAAACATATATTCCTAACGCTAAAATGTTCCCCTACCTGTTTAGACGTCTCCCCCTGAGGGTTTGAAAGGTGAGCTTTACTTACATTTCTTCCCTCGCCGTGCTGGCCTCGTCGCAACTGCTCTGCCTTTGTGACTGAGATCATCAAGATTGAGCATTGCAAATCACCACTCTGTGCCAATCAAATGCTGCTCTAAAAGTTCTTGGTGCTGTTTTTTATTGGAAATAATCTGATTGGAGACTATTGTGACCGGAAAAATTTGGACACTGACACAATTTTCATAATTTTGGCTCTGTACACCACCACAATGGATTTGAAATGATAGAACCAAGATACAATTGAAGTACAGATTTTCAGCTTTAATTCAAGGGATTGAACAAAAGTAATGTATGAAATGTTTAGTAATTGCAACCATTTGCATACACAGTCCCCTTATTGTAATTGGACAAATGACCACAATCACAAATGACATGTTAATTTTTAATACTTTGTCCAGAATCATTTGCAGGCAATGACTCCTTGAAGCCTGGAACGCATGGACATCACCAAATGCTGGGTTTACTCTCTTGTGATACTTTGCCAGGTCTTTACTGCAGCTGTATTCAGTTGTTGTTTGTGGGTCTTTCTGCCTTAAGTTTTGTCCTCAGCAAGTGAAATGCATGCTCGATCAGTTTGAGAGCAAGTGATTGACTCGCCCATTGCAGAATATTCCACTTCTTAGCCTTAAAAACTCCAGGGTTGCTTTCGCAGTATATTTTGAATTATTGTGCATTTATAAAGTGAAGCGCCATCCAATTAACTTCGCTGAATTTGGCTGAATCTGAGCAGACAATATATCCCTATATACTTCAGAATTTATCCAGCTGCTTCTGCCTTCTGTCACATCATCAATAAACACTAGTGACCCAGTGCCATTGGAAGCCATGCATGTCCATGCCATCAAACTGCCTCCACCATGTATTACAGATAATGTGGTATGCTTCGGATCATGAGTCATTCCAAGCCTTCTCCATCCTTTTTTCTTCCCATCATTCTGGCACAGGTTAATCTTAGATTCATCTGCCCAAAGAATACCGTTCCAGAACTGGGCTGGCTTTTTTAGATATTTTTTTGGCAAAGTCTTATCTGGCCTTTCTATGTTTGAGGCTTATGTATGGTTTGCAAGTAGTGATGTCCCGAACGGTTTGCCACGGACGGCGAACATAAACATAAACTTTGACCTTGTACCTCACAGTCAGCAGACACATTCCAGCCAATCAGCAGCAGACCCTCCCTCCCAGACCCTCCCATCACTATTTGCAAGTTGTGGTGAACCCTCTGTATTTGCTCTCATGAAGTCTTCTCTTTATGGTAGACTTGGATCATGATATGCCTACCTCCTGGAGAGTGTTCTTCACTTGGCTGGATGTTGTGAAGTAGCTTTTCTTTATCATGGAAAGGAGCCTACGATAATCCCCCACTGTTGTTTTCCGTGGACGTCTAAGCCTTTTTATATTGCAGAGCACACCAGTGCATTATTTTTTTTTATCAGAATGTACCAGACTGTTGATTTGGCCACTGTTAACTTCTGCTATCTCTCATTTTTTTTTTTTTTTTTGCAGGATGAACTTTTTCACTTACATTGAGAGCTCATTTGACTGTATATTGAGGGTTCACACAACAGCTTCCAAATGCGAATGCCACACCCCTTTACTTGCCTAATTGATGAAGAAATAACAAAGGAATAGCCCACACCTGTCCATGAAACAGCCTTTGAGTAAATTGTGCAATTACTTTTGGTCCTTTGAAAAAGAGGGGGCTACATTTTAAAGAGCTGTAATTTATATGTGAATATACTCAAAGTAAAGCTGAGAGTCTGCACTTTTAGCCCATATTCATTATTCAACTGTAACTTGAATTTATTTTGGTTAACAGCCAAAATAACAAAACTTGTGTTAGTGTCCAAATATTTCCAGACCCAACTGAATGTTTTTTTGATATTGCTTATTTGCTGGTTACTTTTGAATGTTTCTTCTTCTAGTAACAAAAAAACGGGCTTTATTTAAAAAATAAATAAATAGAAACAAAACTATAAAACAAAAGTTAAATAAATTAATAAATAAATAAAACCATAAAATATATATTTTACAGTCAAAGCTGCAGTCAATCACTGTTAAGAAAAAAACAACTGTTACGTACTCATCAATAGGACTATATGAACATTACATACAAATTTAAAGTAATATAAACTTTTGTCTTACATCTGCATGCACCATTTAGGTAGTCTTCTCCTTTCATAAAATTACATCAAAACAGTCCAATGTGTAGTTATTACCAGTTAAATGAAACAAAATGTCAATAGGGTTTTCTATTCACTAAAGCAGAGTAACACAGATCGGAATTCAACAAAACTGAAAGTAAGCACATAAGGGAACTCCCATATTGTAATAACTTTTCATTAAACTCCTGCATCTATAAGAAAAATAGTTGCAAGCAACTTAAAGGAACACTATAGTCACCAGAACAACTACAGCTTAATGTCGTTGTTCTGGTGAGTATAATAGCTCCCTTCAGGCATTTTCATGTAAACACTGCCTTTTCAGAGAAAAGGCAGTGTTTACATTCCCCCCTAGGGACACCTCCAAGTGGCCACTCCTCAGATGGCCACTGAAGGGGCTTCCTGGCTCAGGGCTACACAGTAAGCAGTCCTGCCGTTCAACATCCCCACGCTCTGCATGGGGATGTTGAATTTTCCTCATAGAGATGCATTGATTCAATGCGTCGCTATGAGGAGGTGATGATTGGCCAAAACAGTGTCTGACCCCGCCACTTGCAGATTTTAGCCAATCCAATGCTTTCCCCATGGGCTAAAAATCGGCACTTTTGATGATGTCCCCAAGGGGGCGGGGCCAGCGCTGGCAAACCTGTGGAGAGCTGAAAATAAGGTGAGTTTTAACCCATTCTGAGGAGGCTAAAGGGGGGGAGGGGACGACGACGACAAGATGCCTAAATGGTGGGTTTTCACTATATGGTCAGGAATAATTTTTTTGTGTTCCTGACCCTATAGTGATCCTTTAAAGTTAAAGAAACACTATTGTGAGAGAAATACATACATGTATTCCTGTAACTATAGCTGTGAAAACACACCTAGGTCCCTGGCCCCCCTGTCAGCAAAGTAAAAGGTGATTTTCTCTTTATTCCAGTGAAACACGGGTCTCTTTGAGGCAGGCCCCGACCCCTGCTTTGCCTCCTTGGCTGAGATCATTAAACTTGACTATCTCAGCCAATCCAATGTGTTCCCATAGGAAAACCGCCTCACTGCGCCAATCAGCATCTCCTCGTAGAAATGCATTGAATCCATGCATTTCTATGAGGAACGTTCAGCGCCTCCATGCAGAGCCAGGAAGCACCTCTAGTGGCCGTCTATGTGACTGCCACTAGAGGTGCTACTAGACAGTAATGTAAACACTGCCTTTTCTCTGAAAGACAGTGTTTACATTAAAAAGCCTGCAGGTACACACTATACAAACCAGAACAACTACATTAAGCTGTAGTAGTTCTGATGATTATAGTGTCCCTTTAAGCCAGTCTGTGCTGCAAATGCGATTCACTGTTTTTCCTCGTTGAGGTGAACACGTTTGCTGCATGGACTGGCATAACTGTTTCTTTAGGAGCTGTTAGTATGTATGCGGCTTTTTGGATGTGATTTGAACAAGTTGCTAGTGAGCAATTTTCTTATAGATGCAGGAGTGTCATAAAATTTACTACACTATACGAGTTTCCATTTGCATATGTGTTTAGATTTGTGGCATTCTGTTTATATATTGACCGACATGCTATAGATTTGTGGCGTTCTGTTTATATATACTTATAAAGTTTGCTGAATACATTACCCTTTTATAATTGATTATTTATAATTTATTTCATTTATTAAAAAACTATCCTTTTGGACACTTACTTCCCATTACTATTTTTACGGTTACATTATTTTATGTAGTTGTTCTTAGCATAATTTTATTATTTTTTTTATTCCACACACAACTACATTATTTTCTTATATTTTACATATTCTGTATGTTTCTAAGGGAAAAGCAAGGGTTTTAGCAGGAGCTGAAGAATGAATTAAGTGTAATAAAAAGAATATTAAGTGTCTGCATTCATCTATATTTAGGTACATTATATGAAACATGCTTTGACTTAAATGGGCACTAGAGGGCACTAGTGCCATCTAACCTACAATAAAAGTGTAAGAAACACCTCACATGATCCATTTTGACTTAAACATTTACATACCTGGCTGACTGAGAGAGGTTCTTCAGCACCTCGGTCTTCAGAGGACTTTGGAATCTCTAGTCTGTCAATAAAGGTCTGAAGTTCTTTCCTGAAAGCCTTCATTTGTGCATTGATCCGATACAGAAGCTCATGTTCACGGATTCTGCTTCCATCATCCTCCTCATCCATCAGTCCAAAGAGATCACCATTGGCAACATAAATTCTGGCTTCACTGATAATGGTACTTGTGTCTGAAATAAGACGGTCAATTGTCTTTCCTAGTCTCTCTGCTTCAGAACGAATGTCTTTCATCTGTTGCCTCTCAGCAAAATTCTTCTGCCAAACAGTTGCAGGAGGATAGAAAGATCTGGTGGGAGTAAGACAGCGAATATTTCGAACCTCTTCTGAATCGCTTTCACCACCTATAGGACCCTCCCGCTTTCTATGGGGAGGGCGTGTGTCATCATCACTTTCTTTCTTTCCTGTGTCACTTTCTGCATCACTGTCTCTTGGACTTCCCCGAATACCTAGATGAGAGGCAAGATCATAGCGTTGCATGTTGGACATGAGCACTCTATTTTCATATTGTAGCTGCATAACTTTACCACTAAGTTCATTGATCTGTAGACGTGCTGTTTTTAGTTCTTCCTGCAAGACGTCTGTTTTCACATTGTCATTATGTCGAGAGCTTTCATGGGTTCCAGCTTTGAATTTGTACTTATTCATTTCTGCAGTAATGCGCTTGTTTTGCTCTTCTAAGTCAGAAAGGTTCCGTCTCAACAATTCAGCTTCATCTTCAACAAGTTGCAAGTGCTGTCTCAACTCAGACACAGACTCGCTCTGTTCCCTCATAAGAGGATTTGATGCACTAGAGTAGTCATCTCCCCTGAGATCATCCAATTCTGCCTTCAGACCTCGATTTTCAACTTCCAGTTCCACAATTTTCCTGCCAAGTATGTTAGCTTCCTCTTCTACTAAACGAAGTCGTAATTTGAGTTCAGCCTCTCTTGTTGTGGGAGGACCACTTGCTTCTCCTTTTGGTAAAGGGCTATCAAGATCCCCATAGAACGATTTGTATTTCTGCAACTCATATTCAATTCTGTCTTTGTCCTTGTCAATTTTTGCCATTTTCTTTCTCATCAACATAGCTTCTTCTTTGACAAACTGCAGCTGACACTTCAAATCTTCACTGTCCTCCTCATCAGAAGAAAAAAAATAAAGTAAGTAAACATATAAACATACCTTTCAAAGGCTTTTATCTATAAAATTGCTGATTTAACTTGGGCTTCTGCTCAGGGCCATTGTGCTCAATAACATGCTACAAGTTGGACAAAACTTTTTTTCCCCTTCTACAATATGCTGGGTTTGATGTACCATATTTTTACGATTGACAGTCAATCGTATCACAATTCTGCTGATCAGTTTGCTGTCTAAAATAAAACGGTGTTGAACAAGTGCAGACAGCTCTTTCGAAACCACCAAACTTTTATTTTGCAAAATATATTTTATAGTGCTAAAGAATATATGTATTCCTTTTGGTGCTGGGCTTTGCCAGCTGCCCATAACCTGTACACAGTGCAAGTAGCTTGGAAAGAGGGCTCCATTCATAATTACACTGAGTATAACAGACCACTATCTATTGTGTTAAATAAGAAACTCTTTTTCTAACATCAGAATTGATGTTAGCATAGGGTTTCCTTAGATTTTGAGTTGGTAAGGTTAGTTATGGCAGAGTTATGGGTAAAATAGGGTAGGGTTAGAGTTAGTATTAGGGTAGGATTATGGTTATAGTTAGTTGTAGGGTTAGCGGTGAACAAGATATTAAATAAAAGTATTTTCTATCCTTTAAAAAACAACAATGTCAAATGTATCCAAATCTACATGGTAAACAATCTGGATTAGCAGGAGGTGCACTAACCTGATAAACCTTTGAAAACCCAAACTGACATTCCAGAAAGATACTCCTTTCTTGAAGGGGGCCAAGATGGGCAAATCTGTGATATTTACACTTATATATTAAGAACTTTTCTCAATGGTACCTATACATTTTTTGACTTATCTCTAACATGTAATAAATAAATATCTAGGTTATATTGAATATCCTAAGTCTGAACTAATATTAGCTATTGATATGTTAATTTATGTAACACAAAGAATCACTGTTCTTATCTTTCATACAAATGAAATTTTTAAAAATTCTTCTTTTCTGGAGCTTTGCAGCTGCTGACTGATGTTGTCCTAAGCCACAATCTTCAATTGGAGGCAAATGGCATTAGTAAGGACTACACAATTCCCCAGGTGCAAATATAATATACCAGATGAGTTATGTTCCATTTTCTGTATTAACGTATACTAGTGCATATTTATTGTATGCTGGCTTTCCTACCTCAATACCAAATTTTGAAGACCCTGTTTTTTTTTACTTTTGCAAATTGTATGCCATGATGGGGGTAAATTTCCTTCTTCGGCTGCCATACTGTCACAAAGAAAACATAGGCCCAACAAACCAATCTGGCAAATATCAATGTGTAAAAACTGAAATAGGCAAGCTCTTTATGTGATCTTGAAACTTTAAAAAACACAAGGAAACCTGTACATGTATATCGGCATTTTTGTACTTGTTGGATATCACAGTATACAAATATGTGTATTTTATTGCAGTAAAGGCTAACGGTATTATAAAATTCAACAGTTAAAATGCCACGCAGAACTTGGAAAATAACAAAGTTTCTTATCTACTCTCACTTTTTTTTTTTTTAGATATTATTCATATTAAATTAGGATTAATTCATAATTATTTGATGTGAAATAAAAGCTTATTTTTCCTAAACAAAATGATATATAAAAAGTGTGGGTGCACTTAATTTGAAAGAGGTAAATTATGGTTGAACAGACATAAAGTTCAAATTCTACGTTTTGTTTTGATTTGGACAATTGTTTTCATCCTTTAGGGGTTAAGGGAGTTTTAAAAGTTCAATCTATAGTCAGTACAGATAAGGGAAGCTTACGATAAAACATGTAATCCCTCTCCCAGAGATTACTCACCTTGGAAAGAGGCAAAATTCAAGGCTTGTTCCATATTGGTTGCTAAAAGGCCTCTCTGTGACTAACCGCAGTAATCACAAGGAGCCTGGAAAATGTGAAATTTAAAGTGGATTCCCTTCTAACTCAGCAGAAAAATCAAAATGTGTGAATCCAGGTGGTCTTGGAAAATCTTATACCAAACACTGGCGGAACTACCACAGTCGCAGGGGTCGCAGCTGCGACCAGGCCCGTCATTCAAGGGGGCCCGGCAGCCCTGCCAACACCTGCAGCCGGGATGCCCGCCAGCATTTTGCTGCGACCCCAACGGGTGGTAATAGATTTCCTGGGGCCCAGACAGCACTGCGGCGCTTTAAGAGCGTGACCGGGCCCCAATGATGATGTCAGAGCTGGGAGGAAGCCGTCACCTCCTCCTAGCCAACAGAGCGTCGCGCAGGAGGAGAAGAGGGAGTCAGAGTGGGAGCTCTGACTCCCATCAGCATGAGGCAGCCACTGGACCCCAGGTAAGTCACTAAATTGTTTTAACAGTTTGTGTGTGTGTGTGATAGAGAATGTCTGTATCAGTATATCTGGGTGTCTGTATGTGTGTGCGTGTCTGTATGTCTGTGTGTATGTGTATGTACGTGTGTGTGTCTGTCTTTATGTGTCTCTCTGTGTGTCTACATGTCTTAGTGTATGTATGTATGTATGTGTGTCTGTATATACGTACCTCTGTGTGTGTCTGTATGTATGGGTCTCTGTTGGTATGTGTGTGTGTGTGTTTGTATGTATGTGTCTGTGTGTCTGTATGTATGTGTGTGTTTGTGTGTATAGGTGTGTGTCTGCGTGTGTATCTGTTTGTCTGCATGTGTGTGTGGGGGGGGTAGAGGTATGGGGGGCACTGACGTAAGGGGTGGGGGTTAGATGTATGGGGGGGCCCCAGGGCAATTTTCGCACCGGGGCCCTGTGATTTCCAGTTACGTCTCTGATACCAAAAGATCTTTCTGCACGTCCTTGGCAAGGTTTTCAATCGTTGTTGTTTAAAGTTTTTCAATTCTAAAAACAAGATGGCTTTGCCAACATTTTTTTTCTGTATATGTATTAGATTTGGTCAATCTTTCCATCTGCAACTTAATCCCAATATTGTATCATAAAAATTTAAATAATTCACATACCTCTTGTGGAGTCTGTTGAGATTTCTTTTCCGATTTTTGGGCATCTTTGCTTCCTCTTCTTTTAAGAGACAACTAAATGGATGATTAAAACTATTTAAGAAACAATATAACCAGTGTAATTGTATTACAAAGCGAGCTTAATTCTCCAGTAATATGATATTTTACTAAGCTAACAGTGCACATCTGCAACCGTTATGGACAATAGATGTGCACTGTGCATATTGCAGGAACAGTGCAGTATACAGAAAGTGTTCAATAATTAATGTATTTGCATAATTCCCTTTTTACCCATTTCACTTGTTCTCACTGAAAATATTGAAAAAAACATGCTAAACCGTAATGTATTTGGCAACTTAAAAGTACATGGTCTAAGAAAGGCAAATATGTGCATTACAAACAAAAACATAAATAACTAAATATTTTTTTAAATGTGTAATTTATGGGATTTAAGGAGATAAATCCAGCAGAGAGACAAAGCAAGGGCATTAATATGTCCAATTGAGGGAGGAGGGATGTGAGCATATTTGAAAAACCTTGAGCTAAAATTGTTAGATTTGATTCTCAAAGAAACACTCTTAAAAATATTCACGAACAGGCTGTCAACCCAACGGCATGGGGTTAAGGGTGGCATTCACAGATGTACGTTTAACTCTTTATGCATTACTGGTATATTAACCAGTAAAAACCTGCAACACTGCACATCCCAGATGAACTTGGCTTTTATACATGGCCTATTTTTTCAACAAAGAAAAAGCAAAGTGTAGTATAACCAGTCATTGAGTGAGGGCAGTCTTTATATCATGACTGCCCTAGCAACCAAATATGCCAATTTGAGTATGCATAGATAATATATTATTTTTAACAAGACACAATTAAATCTTTTTTTCTAGTAAAAATTCTAGTCATGTTAAGTCTACCCAACAAATCAGGAATGAAGGGAGGCTAAAGGAGGAATAAAAAATAACAGTGGCATATAGACATCACAACTGCCAATGTCTTAACAAACATTACAGGAGATTGAATGAATAAAGAATAAGATATATATATTTCATGTTAAAGATATCCAAATGTATTATTGATAGATGTCAGGAGCCAAAGTAGTAACTAAATATATCTTACTCGGTATGAAAGCAGAGCTAAAGTGAAGAGATGAAGACTTACTGATTCCCATGAGTGTGCAGAATGAATCATCAACTATTTTGTGTGTTGCTGACTCTGCAGAACACGTCAGGGGATGGTAGAAAGTGCTGCAGCATGAAACAACTCTGTTGCATTAAGCAAAATGAGCTTGGTAGGGTGTGTTGAAAAGAAGAAGGAATGCGGATTTGGACCAACCTCTTTGAGCTTCTCCAGCTCATTCTGCAACGCCTGTTTGGTTATGTCAACTTCAATAAGCTGTTGGCGTAATTTTTCGTTTTCTTCTTCTGTTTTGGTGCGTTTTTCTTCTACATTTTCTAGTTCATGATGAAGCCTCACAGATACATCTTTGGCTACCTAAAGGAAAACACGTGGTGTGTTATTTTTAAGTGGAACTATAAATACAAAGGTTACTATCTTTAATATTCAGTCACTATCACACAATGAAGTAAGAGTTCTAAAACAGTCAACATCAGACTGGAAATGCAAGAATTCGACGAATCTTCTCATTCAAATCTTGGGAGAAATTCTTAAGAGGAACAATCACTGTTGCTTATAGTACGATGGGGAACACTTACCCAACATGTTAAATGCTAATTGATATATACAGTAAGCAATTATGATATAACCATAACTGGTTATTGAAGTGAATCATTGTAGTTTTGGTCAAATTATAAAACTTTATGACAAGGGTTTACTAATACACAAAGAGATGGCATATTAATAATACGTTATATAGTAATCCGGTAGCTGCGGCATAATTACCCATATACATTCAAGCATTGTCTAAAAGGTTATCACTGTTATCTGAATTCATAGTATTACTGTACAAAGATAAAGAATATGTTGGGAATTAACATTTTAACTTTAACATAAAAAATCATATTGATAGGCTATTTTTATTGCTTCTTTTAAATACATATTATTGCAATTCAAGTTTGTGGTATGAACTTGAAATAAGCAACCAATGTACCATAAAACTGGTAGGTAACAGTAGATAAATGGCTAATATTTGCAGTGCTAATCAGAAAAGTTGGAAACCATCAGTTTAAAGTTCCATAGAGATTTTAAAACTATGCTCATCAGCCACTAGCCCTCACCATACCAGTGCATGGAGTACTTCAATTTCTGAAATTAATAACAAGTTCAAGTCTTGAGAAAGGACCATGCGTAGTCTGAAACATTAACAACTTTGCAAAGTATACAAAATAAACTTCTGTGACATGTCATTGCACTAAGTCCCGTCAGTGCTCATCCTTCTGTTAGAAAAATATTTCCCTTACCTAAAAAGGTATCAGTTTGTCTATCACAGAATCCACATTTCTGTTTTAATCTGCCAGGACCTCAACAGAATGAGCACCTCCTGATTAGATCAGCTGATCACTAACTGTAAAATATGTTTTATTGACATTCTTGAAAAATTGTTGATTTCAATCTTGGCAACTTTGCATGTGCACGGCTGTCATAAATCTTCTTATGGGGTAAAATTTTATCAAAGTAATCAAATGCATTAGCATTTTATTTTACTTTTAAAAATGTATTACTGATATTTCATATCCATAAATAAATAAATACACAGCATATATGTGCAAAATGGATATGTTGTAGCCAACTGTACCCATCAGAGAAAATCCTTGGGCTTATAACTGGAGACTGTGTTCTATATAACTTTCATATGTATATATCCTCACCGTGCAGTGTGTACAACATTTCCTTGAAATTAGCTTTCCCTGCCATTGCCATATCTGGAGAATTCAACTCCATTTATCCTCAACCAACTACAGACTGGATCATAGGAGTTGCCATGTAAAGGTTACTGAATTGCTAATTGTTGCTTATGATGCTCTCCATTCTGCAACCTTTCAATGGTACCACACCTGGGGTCAATAGAAAGCGCTAAACTGCTGGTTTCTGTAACTTTCACTTTCTCATGCCCCACTCCCACGTGAATATAAGCAGTCAGCTCCCTTTATATCTTCACCCACCTGCAGATGCATTGCACAAGCCATAATCACATCCCAGCTCCACCACACAAAAACATACACTGTAGATAAAAATAATGTTTTTACCAGAATAAGAAGCCATATTTATCCAGCCCTCAGTTCATTGCCATCCATATCTGCCACTGTTCAATACAATAAAAACAGACACAGCTATGTATATTGTATCTGTCGCACAGACCATCCCAGAGTGTAGTGGAGGAAAATCAACCCACGTAGAACATCTCAGATGTGGTTCTTAGTCCTCTGCAACATCACTGATGATATTGCAAGATCTTCCAATTGTTCATGCGCTTTTCCGGCATTCCTAGGGTTAGATCAGTGTCCCCCCTACAGTGGGTGTGGAAAGTGTAAGGAAGAAAAAAATCATATTTACCTGCCTTTTCAGCCTGCAGAATGAGACAACTCTCTCATTCAAAGCTAAAGCTTTTGAATTAGACAGTTGTTTCAATGTGGACGTCCCTTTAAAAGATTAAGTGTTTATCACTGCAAAGTTCACAATGTTCTGCTCTCCCGCTGCTCTGTACTACAATGTACAATGTACTACATGATATACATTTAATTTATACAATATATGATCTATTTCCTTAGTATGTGATGCTATGTAATTGCCATAGCAGTAACAACTACAAACATTAAGTTCAAAAGTTAGTGTGCATTCACATGTTAAGAATGTTGGGAGTTGCAAAAAGTAATGTGTAACAACAGCTGGCAGATCCATGGAAAAATTCAACTGCCAAATGGCAGTCAAAATTATTTTTTTTTCTTGTTTTCTCCACTTATTTTGAATCAACCACAGAAACACAGATAACAGGCTGAACGTGATGGACTTGAGACTATTTTAGCCTTTATCCTTACTACGTAACTCAGTCATGTTGCCCAGTCACATGTAGCAGTTTGAGATTTTCAGTAGAGAGTACGTTTGTTGGCCTAATTAGTAGAATGGGACTTGAAAGTTTGACTCATGCTATATGGCTAGAAAATGATATACATTTTTGTTGCTTACTCCACTAGTGTATAAACAAAAATCCAATTAAAAATCTAACGTACTTTTTTTACCCTAGCTAACATTTTGTGTCACTATACATCAATCCCTCTAGAATGTGAGCTCATTCGAGAAGGCCCTTAACCTCCTCAGTTCCTGTGTGTCCAACTCGTCTGGTTACAAATACTTGTCCTCCCATCGTACAGCGCTGAGGAATTTATTGGTGCTTTATAAATAGTAATAATTATAATTAAGCAGACAGAACTTGAGTGGCTGTCACTGCAATAAAAATTCAACTGCTAACTATACTTCACCTTTAAGTCCTGCTCCAGGCTACGCAGTAGCTCACTATCTATCTCCCCAGTCTGTGCATAGCGGAGTCTTTTGCGCTCTGCCTTCCGCAGGCGGTATTGCAGGATCCTGCAATTCTTATTGGCTCTCTCCAGTTCATGGCGCATTTCCTGCAGCTGACAGGCATCCTCTTCAAAGAAAGTGTCTCGCATCTCATCCATCTCTGTCCTCATCTCTTCTATTTCATTCTTCTCATGGAAATTAGGCAGGAAAGAAAGACATCAGAGGAGAACAAAAAAAAAGGGGCAATTAATATAGTAGCTGGCTAGCTAGCTTGGAAATTATTTTGGTTGCATACAAAAATAAGAATTGTGAATTACAGTACAATGCATTTTATATAACTATATCTGCTTTACCATTAATGTAAATAAATGTGTCTCCATTATTTAATTGCAAGCTTTGGGCAAGTAAGGCCTTCAGTGCTCCGCTTGTTATTGAGGTTTTAAGATGAGCATTACAAAGGACTCAGGGCATGGGCGTCCGCAGGGGGGGGCAATGGGGGGCACTTGCCCCCCCCTGGATTTTTCAGCTTGTTCTGCTATTTTGTGTGAGATTTAACGCCAGTAGGTGGCGCTGTGTATGGAGAGAGCTAGGGATAGGAAGCTGCATCTTATCCCTGATTCTCTCTGCTGATTGAAACCGCAGGGGAACAACACATGCAGCCAGAGACAGCCTACATATCAGGTAAGTGGGGGATGGGGGGAGGGTTTGAGACGGGGGCAGCAGCCTATAGATTTGGGGCAGCAGCCCATAGATTTAGGGCAGCAGCCCATAGATTTTGGGGAGCAGCAGCCTTTAGATTTGGGGGCAGCAGCCCATAGATTTGGGGAGGGGGGCAGCAGCCTATAGATTTGAGGGCAGCAGCAGCATTTAGATTTGAGGGCAGCAGCCCATAGATTTGGGGAGGGGGCAGCAGCCTTAGATTTGGGGCAGCAGCCCATAGATTTGGGGGGGCAGCAGCCCATAGATTTGGGGGGGCAGCAGCCCATAGATTTGGGGAGGGGGGCAGCAGCCCATAGATTTGGGGGGGCAGCAGCCTATAGATATATAGAAATAGAAATGAACAGGAAGGGTCAGCAAGGAGCTGGAAGGTAAAGCAGCACAAAGGTAAAGTAGAAGGAGCAGAAAAGGTCAGAAATGAGCTGGAAGGGGCAGAAGGAGCACAAACATAAAGTAGTAGAATGAGCAGGAAGGGCCTGCAAGGAGCAGGAAGGAGCACAAAGGGACAGCAAGGAGCACAAAGGTAAAGGAGCAGAAAGAATCAGAAGGAGCACAAAGGTAAAGTAGGAGAAAGAGCAGAAAGGGACAGCAAGGAGCACAAAGGTAAAGTAGAAAAGGAAGCAGAAAGGGTCTGCAAGGAGCAGAAAGGGATCAGAATGAGAAAGGAGCAGAAGGGCGCAAAATAAGCAGAAAGTAGCAGAAAGGTAAAAGAGCAGAAGGGGCCAAGGATAGAAAACAGTGTCAGAAGAAAAAAAAAGACTGTCAAATGAAGGAGAGGAAAAGGAGATTGGAGCAGGAAGGACAAATGAAGTGAACCCTCCACTTTATTCTGGACACCACATCATAAGGCTTTGGTACCTGGGCCTGGCAGGGAAACGCTGGACCTTCTCATCTCCAAAGGTAAAAAAATATCAGTATTAATGTGTTCACTTTTATTTACTGAGTGTCAGGAAGCACAGAGTGCCGTTGGGTAGGGGTGTTGCTGATTGGCTAGAGCGGTCAGCTGGCACTCTAAGCCAATCAGTAGCTCCCCATTCATAAAAAAGTAAAAATATTTTATGAACCGGGAACTAGCGATTGGCTTAGAGCGTCAACTGACCACTCTAGCCAATCAGCGGCACCCATGCCTGACGTCAATCTGCACTTCCTGACACTCTGTTTCAGAAGCCAAATACCACTGAGCGACCTGGAGCTGGAGGAAGCCTTTGGGGTTAAACCATTTGAGAGCGATTTAACCTTTTAAAGGAAAGCACACCCAGGGGCTTCCTGGCATCATAGCATTTTCATTTAGGGCTTGTATAGGGTGACCAGAAATGTCCTTTAATTTGCTTAAAGAACACTATAGTGTCAGGAATACAAACATATATTCCTGACACCATAGTTGTGAAAACGCTATTCACCCTGGCTTTATGTGATAATGGCTATGCCCCTTCCCTTTCATGACACTGTCAAAAAGGTACCAAGCATGGCTGTCATTACAATTATGCCCCCCCCCCCCCTGGAAAAATTCCTGCGGACGCCCATGACTCAGGGAAATATTTAACAAGGAAAAGCATGTACTATTCTAGAACAAAGTATTAAGGAGGACATGTACTAACACTTGCAAATGAAAAAGTAACTAAAAATTGACTGTGAGAAAACAAGCATCAATGGGCATTATAATTTTCACTTTGTGCATATTTTCTGCATGTAATTGCACTGCTATGATAGGGAGTAAAAAATATTCACTGCTAAAAAAATGAGAGGGTTAAAAGCATAAATAGTGTATTGTTAATGTGAAATCACGTGCTAAAATTGTTAGATTTTTTTAAATATATCGATTTGATTGTGTCAATTAGTACAGCTCCTTTTAAATGGTAAATAACTAACAACAAGTGATAAATACAAAGCTATTAATACATTCTTAATGTTTAGGGATTTTTTTTTTGCTTATTGATAGTATGTGGCATGCCTCCCCAAATGTTCAGCACCACTGTATTAGTTACATTGGTGATTGCTCCATATAAGGCAGTTTGCCCTAGAATAATGCTTGTCTTTGCCTTGATTAGTTCAGGTGCACTAAAAGTGAGATACTTTTCCAAGCTTTATGAGATCAGGTCCACTATATACAAATATGTTTTTTTGTTTCTTTCTTTTAATAACCTATTCACAGGCTGAATTACCCATTCAGTCTCACAAACAAAAGGAAATAAGTACTTGCTAATGTGAAACCCTGCCTGAATTTAATATTTCTATGTATTTCTGGCCCCATGCAATGCAAAATAAAGTGCAAGCGGCATTAATAGAAATTCATATTAAAAGAGATATCTGTTTTTAATGAAAACATTGATATACTGAATAAGAGCATATTGGTGGCTGAGTTTTGAGACAGACACAGTACATGCTGGGTTAGTGCAGCATGTTATTGTCTGCCAGCTGAGCGGCCTGGCTTTCTGAAGACAGATGACATCACCAAGTGGCAGACAATAGAGGGCCTGGGCTCCATGCTGGGCTTCATCTAGGCTCTGTGCTAGTCTCCATCATGCAGGGCTTAATGCTATGCTCAATGCTGGGCTCCATCATACATCATAAATGGTTCCATCATACATGACACATGGTTCCATCATACATGGCTCCATCATACATGATACATGGCTCCATCATACATGATACATGGCTCTATCATACATGATACATGGCTCCATCATACATCATACATGGCTCCATCATACATGACACATGGCTCCATCATACATCATACATGGCTCCATCATACATGATACATGGCTCCATCACACATGGCTCCATCATACATGACACATGGCTCCATCATACATGACACATGGCTCCATCATACATGATACATGGTTACATCATACATGGCTCCATCATACATGACACATGGCTCTATCATACATGATACATGGCTCCATCATACATGGCTCCATCATACATGACGCATGGCTCCATCATACATGATACATGGCTCCATCATACATGGCTCCATCATACATGACACATGGCTCCATCATACATGACACATGGTTCCATCATACATGGCTCCATCATACATGACACATGGCTCCATCATACATGGTTCCATCATACATGACACATGGCTCCATCATACATGGCTCCATCATACATGGCTCCATCATACATGACACATGGCTCCATCATACATGGTTCCATCATACATGACACATGGCTCCATCATGCATGACACATGGCTCCATCATGCTTGGCCCCTCCCTGCTCCCATTGTTCTCTCACCTTCAAGCTTTCATTCTCATCTCTCAGTTTTTCCATTTCCTCTCCCGGGTCTGGCTGGGCCATGGCTGCCCCCGGGCTCCCCTCCTCCCCTGGCGGTGGCCCCGGGGGGGTCTTGCTCTCGGTGTGGGCGGCCTCGCTCCCCTTGGCTGCAGCCAGGCCTTTCTTCAGGTGGAACTGCATGAGCTCAGACTGCAGGCAGCCCTCCTTCCAGTACCCCCCGCCCCCGCCCTGCTTCCTGGGGCTCCGGCCCGCTGCAGTAACGGCCGCGGGAGCCCCCTCCCCGCCCTTGGGGGAGCTCTTCCCTTTGGCCTTCATGTTCCGTGGGGCTCCGTCCCCGGCCGCCTCGGCCGCCCTGCCCGGCTCGGGCTGCTCCTCCCGGTGGCCCTCCAGCTCGCCCGGTGATGGCGCCGCCCCGCCCGCCCGTCCGCGGCCTCCGCCCTGGATGCTGCGCTTTCAGCACCGGCCCCGGCCTGGACAGCTCCCTGCGGCCTCTCCGCCTGCCTGCTGCTCTGAGCGGACTGTGCCAGCGGGGCTGACTGCCGGCTGCGGCCGCTCACACTGGGACTGACACGGGGCTGGATGCTCACACGGGGCTGGATGCTCACACGGGGCTGGATGCTCACACGGGGCTGGATGCTCACACGGGGCTGGATGCTGATGCTGCTGCTCTCAGGATGCAGGCGAGGCTCAGCGGCAACGGGAGAGGAGACAGCAGCGCCCCCTCCTGGCCGCCTCATAGAGACAGAGAGACAGGATGAGCTCAGACTAATCCATCACTGGAAGACAATGCCACCCAGAACTCCCAATACAGGGAGGGGGGGAGGATACCCAGAACTCCCAATACAGGGAGGAGGGGGGGGACACCCAGAACTCCCAATACAGGGAGGAGGGGGGGAGGACACCCAGAACTCCCAATACAGGGAGGGGGGGGAGGACACCCAGAACTCCCAATACAGGGAGGAGGGGGGGAGGACACCCAGAACTCCCAATACAAAAATTTATTATGATAGTACATAAAGCAAAGATACTCTAACTGCACAGTGTTATACTCATAAGTAAAGTGGAAAATTGCTATCATCATTGTCTCATTTTAAATTCCAGTTGTACTACTTGTCTCCACAGGATAAATAAAAGAAGCCTGCAATATAGAATATATAGTAAAAAAAAAAAACCACCAAGCATATACGCAGATCAGTCACAACATTAAAACCGTAAAAGAAGAAAAGGTTGCGCCAAATATGAACAAATGTGTGAGAATATTAAAACACTAAAACAAACAATGAACAAGTAGCAAGCTTGCAAAGATAGCAGCTAAATCCCATAGAGGAGTCTTTTTGTCCTCTCTATAGGGATATCGGATTCAAAGTTTATTGGGAACCATATAGATATACAAAAAAAAAACAAAGAAGAAAGCCAGTAGTGCAATATGTTCCAATATTGTGTGGTACTTTTAAAGTGCAAGTCTTTTATGGTCCTACTCACATTTTATAGAGCTAATACCAACTCTAGAATGATGGGCATACAGTGGTATAATCCTTACTTGTAGGATAAGAGTAGTAGTGTAGTCAACAGCACAGTTTTTACAGTGGTATTGGGACCATGAGCCCCAAAAAGACATACAATGACAAAGATAGTGCTTACTGTGTATACTGAACCAGGAGTAATAAATAAAAATAAATGTACTCACATTTAATTCAGCAGACACACCGCTCAATGAATAAGGCGTGAATAGTATAATCCCCACCTAGGATTTCTTTTAAAAAATTCACAAGATGTTTCACACATAGGGCTTTATCAAGTGGTAGAAGTTTTAGTTTTTTTATTCCAGTTGGTAAAGCTCTGTGTTGTGAAACATGTTGTGGATTTTTAAAAGCATTCTAATTAAAGTGATTTTGGCTACTTTTATACTGTGATTGTGCCAATTTTCTTTTTTTATTGCTTTTTTTTATTTTTGCCTGGCATCCTGTTCATCACTCCAGAGAGGATCTCACGACAGAATCCTAGATTATGCCACTCACACCTTATTCATTGAGCTGTGTAGATTTTTGAGTAAATGTATTTGTATTTACAATGAACAAAATTATAAACGCAACACTTTTGTTTTTGCCCCCTTTTTTTATGAACTAAACTCAAAGATCTAAGACTTTTTCTATGTACACAAAAGGCCTATTTCTCTCAAATATTGTTCACAAAACTGTCTAAATCTGTGTTTGTAAGCACTTCTCATTTGCAGAGATAATCCATCGACCTCACAAGATGCTGATTAGACAGCATGATTATTGCACAGGTATACCTTAGGCTTGCCACAATAAAAGGCCACTCTAAAATGTGTTAGTGAGTTCAGCTTGTGCAAAATGGGGGCAAAAACAAAAGTGTTGCGTTTATAATTTTGATCAGTGTATTAATCCTGGTGTTGTACGGTGCTGATCCTTCTGTTTGCTTTTTACAACATTAACATCACCTGTCTAATATTGTGTCAGTCCTTCTCATGCTGTCAAAAAAGTTCTGATGTGTCAAGGCATGGACTCCACAAGACCTCTGAATGTGTAGTGTGGTATCTGACACCAAGACATTAGCAGCGAAGTCCTGCAAGTTGCAAGTTGGGGACTCCATGGATCGGATTTGTTGTTCCAGCACATCCCACAAATGTTCAATTGGATTAAGGTCTGTGTAATTTGGACAACACCTTGAAATCCTCAAACCAATCCTTAACAATTTGTGCCATGTGGCAAGGTGCATTATCCTGCTGAAAGAGGCCACTGCCATCATGGAACATGTTCTTGTCCTACATGAAGGGAATGCATTCACCTCCCAAACGGAAACCACCCCGACAACTCATTTAAAATGTTGGTTTAGAACGTTCGCACCTCGCAATGAGGTGTCAAAACCACAAACTGCAAGTGAAGCCTCAGCGTGTGCATCCCCTGGGTGGCCGCCCGTTATACGAACGCTGTCCGGGGGAGCATTCGTGGATTGCTACCGAACGAAGACCTACCCAGTGCCCCTTGGAATGTTTGCACCAATCAATTAGAACGTTGGCAACTTGCAACATAAGTGTGAAACCGCAAGGGAAGTAATTAATGAGTGCTCCCCTGGGTGGCTGTCGTTCGTATAGATGGGCGGCGGCCAGGGGGAGCATTCGTGTCCCGAAAGGAGACGCTTCCCTTGCTTGGTTTCACTCACCCGTAAACAGAGGCGGTTCATGGCAGTTGCCGTTCTGGGGGTCCCTGAGATTGGTGGGGACGCTCTTTGGGGATAATGGCGGTTTTGCTTTCTGTAACTGGGAGTCCAGGAGACGGGAAGCTTTCCCGAGCTAGGGCTCCCAAGTACAGAAGCTCATGGGATAAAGACCCCCTGTCCCCAGAGGTGGGAGGGGAGCATTCGTGGATACTTGATGGTCCCAACGCCCTACTCCCTCTCCCAGCTACCGACCCCCCATCTGACCTTTGCTACAACCCAACTCCACTACTGCAGCTCCCCTTCGGGGCTTGCCGGTCTGGCAACCCCCCCAGCATGCATTCCCCAGGGGAGACCAGCGATGCTACCAGTGCGACCAAACCGGCCACATCAAACAGAACTGTCCCCAAAACCGGGGCAGACCACAGTGGTCCACCCATGAAGCACCCACTGTACCGCAGGCAGCAGCCCTCTGCTACCAAGATGATACCACAGATTTTCAGAGCCCCAACGAAGAAGTCTGGACCATCCTGCATGAGGCAAACCCAGTCTAGGCCGCCCATGATGACCGAGACCACCACTGACAGTCAGTGCGGCTGAACGGGTGCAAAGTCCAAGGGTTACGAGACACCGGAGCCACCCTCACTCTGGTGCGACCCCAGCTCTTTCCAGAAGAAGAGAGGATAGGGGGTACCATTGCCGCCTGAGTGGCAGGAGGAAACGTTCGCTATCTACCCACTGCCCATGTTCACCTTGACTGGGGCACTGGAGCCCAGAGGGTCGAACTCAGCCTCATGGATCGGCTACCTGCAGGAATTCTGCTCGACAATGACCTGGGCCACCTCATCTCCACCTACGTCACTGTCAGAACCCTTGACAAAGCTTACCCTGTGATGACTCGGCAGCGGGCCCGCAGCCCCCGGTAAGGCTCACCCTCTGAGGCTTAGGTAGGCACCTACTCCTGTCCCTACACCCCGGCCCCTCGATGGCGCCCCGCAAGCCAGCCCCCCGGGCCAGTCCCCCTAAACCTGGTCCCCATAGCCGCCCCCTGCACGCAGACCACCCGGGCCAAACCTCCTTCCCTGGGATACCCCGTCCGAGTTCGAGAGGGAGATAGTGTCCGATCCTCCGGGCGTGTAGGGACAGGGCAGACGTGGGTTGGGTAGGGAGGGGGAGCGAGGGCTACTGTACCGCATAGCGGAGAACAAGAAGTCGGGTACAGCTCCCACCGAGCAGTTGGTGGCACCCAAGAAATATCGACATGAGCTGCCTAAGATAGCCCTGTGATGTCTGCCAGAGAGTGGGAAAGCGGGGCAACCAGGACAAGGCCAAGCTCCAGCAACTCCCCATCATCGAAGACCCCTTCGGCAGAGTAGTTGTCGATATCATAGGTCCCCTGGCTAAGCCTAGCCCCTCTGGGAAGAAATATATTCTGACCATTGTGGACTACGCGACTCAGTATCCCGAGGCAGTCACCCTGAGCAACATTCAGGCTGAGACTGTAGCCGAAGCCCTGGTGCGAGTGTTCTCCCGGATCGTTTTTCCCCGGGAGATCATTTTGGATCGGGGTTCCCAGTTTACTGCCGAAATGACGTCCAACTGTGGAGGTTATGCGGCATTAAACCGATACTGAGATTCCCTTACCACCCCCAGACCAATGGCCTGTGCGAGTGTTTCAATGGCACGTTGAAGCAAATGCTCCGTACCTTTGTGGCGACTCACAAGCATTGGGAAAGGTTTCTGCCACATCTCCTATTCGCATATCTCAAGGTGCCCCAGGAATCCATAGGATTCTCCCCGTTTGAGCTGATCTTTGGGCGGAGAGTGAGGGGCCCTCTAGACCTTGCCAGAGAACACTGGGAAGTAGCGGGGAATTAGGAAGGGACCCCCATCCCCTATGTGCTGGAGTTTAGGGAACGGCTGGAGGAACTCACCTATCTAGTGCGGGAGAACCTCCAGGCGGCATAGGGGCACCAGCGCACATGGTACGATCGGGGCACCAGGAACCGCAGTTTTTAAGTCGGGCAGAAAGTTTTGATTTTTAAACCCGTCTGACATGATAGTTGGTGGAACAGAAATGTGATACTACCTATGTGATCGGCACGTGTTCGGGTACCGGAGTCCGACACCTGTTGCATGTCAACATGCTGAAGCCCTACCACAAGCAAACTGAGGATGTAGCCGCCATATGTGCTCCAAAAATATGTACAAAGGATCAGTGCTAATTAGGCATGTGCATGGGGAAAATTTTCGTTTCGGTTCGGCATTCCGAAATTCGGGACTTTCGCAATTCGGGACTTCGGTACGTCAACACCTTTGGAACTTCGGCACTTCAGCACTTTGGAACTTCGGCACTTCAGCACTCCGGAACTTTGGCACTTCGGAAATTCGGCACTTCGACACTTCGGAATTTCTGAACTTTGGCATTTCGGGACTTCTCTTGCAGCCGGTTAGTAGATAACTCCCTAATTCCCACGGT